TAATTTAGATGAGACGCTTGTTTAATGTAAAGAAAGTAGTGTAATGTACAGAAGACAGTTGTTTAATTTTTTTTTTTAAATGTAAAGGAAACAGTTGTTTAATGTAAAGAAGACAGTTGTTTAAATGCATGTAAATGAGAAGGTTGTTTAATGTAAAGGAGAAGGTTGTTCAATGTAAAGTAGAAGGTTGTTTAATGTAAAGGGTATGGTTGTTTGATGTAAATGAGAAGGTTGTTTGATGAAAGGAGAAGGTTGTTTGATGTAAAGAAGGTTGTTTTATATAAAGGAGAAGGTTGTTTAATAATAAGGTTGTTTAAATATAATGAAGGTTGTTTAATATAATGAAGGTTGTTTAATGTAAAGAAAAATGTTGTTTAATGTACAGGAGAAGGTTGTTTGATGTACAGGAGAAGGTTGTTTGATGTAAAGGAAAATGTTGTTTAATGTAAAGGAGAAGGTTGTTTAATGTAAAGTAATTGAGGTTACTTAATTAAAAGAAGTTTGTTTAATGTTGTTAAGTACTTGAACAGTAAATTAATGTTGGTACATTTTGGTTTTAATGATGCGATAAGGGTTCTTAACCGACTTTGGAGTTTTTATTTGTTTGTTTTCTTTCTTTTATATTAAATTTTGCAAAGCTTGGTAAATCTGTAAAACTTTTTTTTATGAGAGTCTAAAAGAATATTGGTTAATTATATTAAATAAGAAATCGTCGGGAACTCAATCAATGGTTATTTTATCAATCAAACATACTGTCATATAGATTTGTTTAGGTAATTCATTTCATAATATACTAATCAAGACCATTTTAAAACTTAGAAGACCCTATAAACATGCTAAACTGTATCGGGTTTTCCAACATGTCCAAGCAACTTTGGATGATACTAAGAGAAGTAAAGCAAACAACATTTAATATGTATATGGTAAAGATGAACACTTCTACATACAACCCATGCAAACGTCATGCAGATGCCATCCCTACAGGCATATCCAGCTTGTCTTAGCCATTTAGATGTTATATCATTTATGTGTGTCCCATTTTATATTTGATTGAAGTGGAATGAAATGATGCCATAAAATTAAAGACTTATTTTTAACAAGTCATAAAGCCCTGGAAGGTTAATTGTTTAGGCATTCTTTTTCTGTGCTTTCAATGTACTGTTGCATCTGATGCACACTTCTAACTTTAGGGAATTACCATTTGATTTTTATGTGGGGGCTAGGATGAAAAATTTTGTCCTGAATATTTTTTTAGTTGTAATCTCGGGCCTGCCTTTTAATTTTCACTCTAACCGGTCCTGCCTTTTTTTTTATTAGTTGATCCTGACTTTTTTTTACATAAATTGTCATCCTGCCTTTTTTTTTACTCAAAACTCCTGTCCTGCCTTTTTTTCCAAATTTCATCCTAGCCCCCCCCCCCATAAAAATCAAATGGTAGCTCCCTTAATGACGGTTAAAATACTTAAAATGTTTACTACCGCAATGAATTCGCTAATAGTTTTTAGGTTCGTATTGTTTCTACTTTAGTTTTCTGTAATGTGTTTGATAAACAAATAAACATCAGTGTCTCTATCAGTGATGGTATTGTCTGTCCTGAGTTTTATATTTTCACTTATTTTTTATATTTGGTAATTAACATTGTTAAAATTACCATTTGGTTTATGAATTGGGCAATGACTTAGGTTTAGACTAGAGACTTCTACTAATCCACCACAATATTATTGTGCATTCTCGATTATGGCTTCTATTATCATCATCTAAAATTAGTAATACAATGTGTGCACAAGAAGAATTTTTACCAATTCCAACAACAGTATAATTTGTAGTAATTTGATCCAAGCAGACTAGAGCTAGTACATGACATGTGAAAAATGCCTTTTATTTATATGATGGTCAAAGTCCCATAACTCTAGAATGACAAATTGGAAAATTGTTCAGATTTAAAGTACAGTCAACTCTCCTTATCTTGAAGTCAGCTGGACCAGAGAAATATTTCAAGACACCCATAGTTTGACTCAAACGAATACCGAAAGTTTGACAAACCAAGCATTTCAACTCTTGCTTAGCTTGGTTAGACTAAAAAAAACAAAAATGAAAATGTGTAGGGGATGGATACAAGATTGATGTATCTGTTTGTAAAGGTGTTTTATTATTATAATAGAAGTAAAGTTAGTTATTTCTTTGTACAGTAACAAGTTTTCCTATGGTTTTTAGTGGAGCGAAAACCAATTGACAAATTCATTCTGATATACAAGAGATTTGAGAAAATTTAAAATTCTTTCATTTTCTTTTATTTAAATCTTTTTTTGGCATGAGAAAATAAAAATGCTGATTGAGTAGTTTTGATAACTTTATCCTCACTTTATGCACAACCAAGCTCATTAATGTATGATTACGGTTAATTGATTATAAAACATTTTAAGTAATTTTTCATAATCTTTAACAATTTATCACTTATTTTTTATTATGGTGATCTAAGAAAATCTTAGAATGTCATAAATCAATAAAGTAGTCTATATTGGGAAATTTAATTAAAGGTTATTGTCCGATTAACTCTTAACTCGATTAACTCGTTAATCCTTTTAAAACCCCAAGGTCATGTTTTGACATGTGTATTGGAAATAGATAGAACATGCTATTTAAATGCTTTTGTTAACCTTGGGACCATTAATTTAGTTCGAGTCAACCAAAATTTCAACTCATCAGGATTCGAAATATATATATTCATATGGAACAAAGTTAGAGTCCACATGAAAATTTCAAGTCAACTGAATTCGAGACAAGAGTTAACTGTAGCTTACTTCCACCAATTCCAACAATTCTATAAAGTTTGCAGTAAATAAATCTAAGCAAACAAGTTATGGTATAAAACGTGAAAAATTTAGTTAAATCTGACAATCCAGTAACTCTAGAACAAACCAGATTATTTTTCCAAATCGTAAGGGAGCATCATTTTATCAATTTCATCAAAAGAGTAAAGTTTTGAGAAAGACAATTCAATAATACATGTACTGGTACATGATATGTGAAAAATTGCCTTATATCTGACTATTAAAGTCCTGTAACTCTTGACAGACACAACCAAAAAATGTTTATTCATAAGGGAGCTTTCTTCTGTCAATCCTGTTGTTGTGTTAAAATTTCATGAGAATTGGTTAAAGCAAATATGAGTTACTGTCTAAGACTGGGGTATAAAACTATTTGATAGCTGTTGAAAATATGTTGCCCATGTGTAAAAAAAAATGTGAGTTAACCCTAATGTTACCCTGGCTAAAATTAACAAAGTTTGACTTTTCTTTCTCAACAGCTCTTAAAATATTCTAATCCTATGGAAATAGAATGGTGTAGTTTGTTATGCAGTATCCCATGGGATTTTATGCAGATCAAAGACAATTCAACTTGCAGAAAAACTTTCTTTTTTCTTTGTTTTATTTTGAATGGGCACAAACTAGTCAAGTGAGTAATTTTTCAATCTTTTAATGTTTCCTGATAAGAATTTGTACTTTAACCTACAGTCTACACAAAATATTATAAAGCTATGTATTGTAAGTAATGCGAGTCTGTATTCAATTATTTAAGAACACAAAAGATAAAAACAGAATGCCAGTACACACATTCCCTGATGAAATAAATGCATTTATATATGGATGAAATGAATACATTTATAACTTTATATAAAAATCATTCAGATGAATTATCTATACAATGAAAGAGAATTTATATGAATTATAATATACAAATAAAAATATTACTTACATGACTTATTACAAATATACAATTCTTCTAGCATAAAATAAAACTAAAAATTACTATTTATATGACAATAACAAAAATTGATATCCATGTCTCCATTTCATGTTTGTAAAAATCTCTAAACCAGTACCAGTACTTAAATTTCTATGTCACAATTGCTTTACACTTTAAATGCACTGTCATTTTCAATGAAGTTTTGTGTTATGGTATTGAGGTCTAAACTCTTGAATATTGTAATAAGAACTAAATATTACTAAGAACATATTACTTAAAAGAGTCTTCTGATTAACAACCTAAAATTCCTGGTGTATTACTTACAGTGACAAATACTTAAAAAATTTTACAGCTTAAATTAGTCAAAAGATAATATATATACACAACATAGAGAATTTGCCCTATCTGCAATGATATTCAGAGCATAGAATCAACATTCTAAATTATCAAACATTTACATAAAAATATTTGTCATTGTTTGTTACCTCAGAAAATGTACAACTAAAATGGGCTTAAAGAGGTAGAACTAAAATAAGGGACATAACTCTTAAATCAACTTTCATGACAGTTTGACTTACAAGAAAAGAAAAATAACATGAGCAGTACCCTGTTCAAACAAGATATTTACATAGGAAGCATATCTTGTGCTTAGAAAAATCTATTAGCTGGTAAAAATATGCCATTCAGACATTCTATTGTGTTTTATTTTCATTTTACAAATTGAAGTGAAAATGTTTCTATGTTTGATATAGAATATCCCTTAGGACATTGCTTTAATTGACGTTAGATAGCATTTTCAAGCCACATCTAACATTAATGCAGATAGGTATAACAATGTGACCAATTATGATATGTTCTTCTAATTTCTGTGACTTGACATGTCACAATACCCTAAAATGTACCTTTTCTTAAAGTAATTAAAAACTATATAAATTAGGTTAGGGCTGTTCCATTAAAACATACATGGTAGCCAGGGAAGGCACTTCAAAAATAGGGTAACCACCTATAGAGGCAAATTAGAATTTCATTTATATTTCCACTATGCATAAACAAAGATGACACCCACCCATAGTTGAGATTTGGAAGTGCCTTCTCTGGGTCCCATGTATGTTTTTATGGAACAGCTCTTAATTACAATTGTTTGTAAAATCTAGTAACTTTAGTTTTAAAAAAAAAAGACCCATGACCCACATTCAATAGTTAAACTTCCCTTCCTACCCTCCCACATACATTTTAATGGAATAGCCCTGAGATTCAATTCCACCAAATACTTCAACATTTACAACACATCATGGAGTAAAACCTTCAGACATGTCACTATCATACACTGCTGGACTTGGTGACCGGACATTTCTAAATTTCTGATGCATACCATTGATTAATGCTTTGTATAGAGGGGTTGCTGTACTGTAACCATTACATGTACTAGAGGGACTTCCTCTTGATCTTGGCTTCTTTTTAGGAGTGCCACCTGGTGACCTAAAAATAGCCCATACAATTAATTAAATCTGTTTCTTGAACTAATTACACTAGTATAAAATTAAGATGTGGTTAGATTGCCAATGAGATAATTCTCCACCAGAGACCACATGACGTAGAAATGCTTATTTATTTTAAGAGACTTGTAGTTATATTGTTTTCCATTTAATAGGCAAGACTTTTTTTTTAGCTTACAGATATATTAAAGCGACAATATCTTTTACTATCAATGGTCATAATTTGTTAAATCAAATTTGTCAGAATTGTAGAAAAGTAAACTGTTGCCATTATTTTCCATTTGTATATATTTCCAAGGGCATACCCCTTTTAAGGAAATGATAGATCTGGATTTAGGTCCAAAACTTTTATTTTACAGAAATAATTTCAGTCATTTCATTATGATCTGGTTTCTTAACCATGTTAACTGCCATTTTGCATTAATTTTTGTTTGTTTTCAAATGCTTTTCAAGTAATAAAACTGCCACTCCAGTATAGTATAATCAACCTGAGGGCCCTCTTTATTACCACATTAATGCCTCCAGGAGATATTATCTAATGATCGCTAATCACTTTTAATAGTATTATCCTTTTTATGTATTATTCATAAATTTGATTAAATGCTGTTTACTTGAATTTTAGGCACACACATCTTAAGAATAACAACAACAAAAAACAACATCAAACAAACACATTAATCTTACCTTGGATGTATACTAGGTCTCAACAATTTGTTTGGATTAATGGACAGGAGTTCCTCATGAAGACTACTTAGTGATCCAATTGACTGCCATGTACCCATGGATGCTATGGACCTGTAGTGAAAAATACGGCTTCCAATTCTTAAAAATGTTCGTGTTCCGTTTTTCTAAAGGCTGAGCATTAACTTATATGATGCAATCAAGGATAAATAAACTGTTGACACAGAGATATGTCTTGCCTTTTGGTTATTTTGATAGCATAATGCAAATGTTGAAATTAAAATGACAATACTTTAATAAAACATTCAAAGTCAATGCACCATGACTGAAGGCACAGGTCCTAATACATGTACTAACCTTCATGGAACTGAGAAATGCCAATTACTATAAAACTGCATACAAAATACCATTGACTTATCATAAGTGGTTCCCTTTTAACTAACCTCAACACAAATTTATTAAACATGTAAACTATGCCGTTTAAAAGTCAATGAACCATGATGAGTGGGCAGGGCCATTTAATCTCCACAGAAATGAGCAATTATAAAATACTTTTAGATGTCTGTATACAGAGATCTGGTTGACATGATTGACTGATGTATGATCAACCAGTGCTAAATATTGAATGCATATTAAAAAGATCCCATATGGGTTTTTTCCATCATTTAGTTAGCTTTTTTAATGCTATAAATCAGTCAAAGATACAGATTCAATTGTCACAGTGATGACAAATTCTTTTATGTTCTCCAGCATTGCTATTGTGGTTGAAAGAAAGAGGCAACCCTGCCTAAAATAATATTGAATGGAAAATGAAAATATTACATTGCAATTGACAAGAAAGTTTTAAATATTAAACTTATATGCATGTGGAAACCAAAATCAGAAACACTTTTTCTTCTTCACTAATATATCTTATTTTCAATTTTACCCTCTTTTGTTGTCTTCTTTCCTCACCCTTAAGCTTTGAGGTGTGTCTATCTACAATATAATTATTGAAATACATATACATGTGTATATCTAAAAACAATACCAATTTGCAAGTGTGCAAGATATATCTTAAGATTTAAAGTTTGTAATAATGTTTTTCTTGATTAACAATTCCATATTCTACTGTCATAATGTCACAGTCTATTTGATAAAAAGTCAATGCATGAAAAAAAGATACAAAATATATTTCAGTTGTGTCGATCAAAATGAATAGATTCTTTAGCATGTTTAGGAAATAAATACAACATGCATAAAACAATGAATGTTTTTTCAAACATTAACAAATCCCTCATCTAAGGTTAAAACATTTTGTAACTTGGATTCACAGTTGTGGATTGACTGAGCACTACAAATGTAACATGTTTAAAAGAGTTTATTCTGAGAAAAATGAAGAGGCATTACCAGTATATTGCATTTCAACCCATTTTAGGACTTTTTAATAAGTTTTGTGTGTTTTATTCTTGACAATGTGTTTATTTGTATAAGTCTAAACAAGAGTCTAAATGTATTGTTTAACTTCTCTGCCCCTGCTTGATTTTACAATTTTACTATTTTTTTTAAATTTTGACTTGCTAGCTTTGCATTGCTCTTATCCACCACTACATACCTGATTTCTATCTTTCAATGGAGTTCTCAGTTTTGTCGGAGTGAACTTTTCATGTTCTGACTGACTTGTCTTTCTGGTGACCTTTTCAACCTTTGACCCTGGTGGAGGAGGTAGAGGTGGAGCAACAGGAATTGATGGAGCAATATTTTCATCGCTTGATGAAGATTTTTGGTGTTTTTTGGCAGCCAACCTCTTTGAATATCTTCTTCCTTTAGACTCTGTAAGAAAGGAGCAGGGGCAATAAGCCCCTAATTTGGCCCAAATATTACTGCAAATTTAAAAGTTATCATACATATCCTTAAATTTGTCCTAACTAGACTAAGGTACAAGGTTTTCAAAAAATAAAAACAAATTTCACATTAAATGAGCTACAATGGCAACAAACCATGACGAAATTTGTATATTTTATAAAATTTCTTGAATTTCCTTATTTTTCATCAAATTCTAAGTATATTTAAGATTGGCAAAGTATGTGCGCACCCAAGAAACAACTTTATATTTGGTGAGATTATTTCAATAGTTATAAAAAAGCTTCTCTTAAATTATTTTGTTGTTTCTTGGCTGCGCACGATGTTTTCGTAATGGAAATAACGATGCAAAATTGCACAAATTCTGCATTTTTCATCTTTTTCATGAAAACGGTACATATTATGACATAACTGTGACGTCATCATATAACAATCTTATGTTTTTCATTTATATTTCTTCACTCTATGCATTTCCAAACATTATGTGCCAATTTGAAATAGTTGTCAAACATTTTATTTTCTTGGGCCAAAACCAGGCCTTAATGCCCCTACTCCTTTGATGAAATAAAATATAAATCCTCTGTTCATTGCAATTGGCTCAAGAAAAATATAAATGAGCGAGTCTTTAAACATGTTCAAGGAAGATGTGCTTTGCTTGCTGTCTTCAAATAATGTATATGCAGAGATGAGGAATTAGTGTTTTGGTATGGGTAACCTCAAAAATCACTCTGACAGATAAATCATTAAACTGTAAGTGGTGGTTTGACCTTTTCACAAGTATTATTATTAAAAGGCAATACTTTCAAATCTTATAAAGTAAAATCTATTTGCAAGCTTTTGTATTTGTCGATCACATTTTGGTTACAAAGCTTAAATGTTAAATTAGCCTTCTCATGGGGTTTTTGATTATGTGATTACTTGGCCGTTTTTATAGTGATTATTTGATTACCAGACCAAGTATTTCATGATTATTTGATTATTTGATAATCTAGGACTGTATTTTTGATTATCTTGTTTAAAAAAAAAATTAATGATTATGTGATTATATTGGCAAAAAAATTGTGATTATGTGATTACTTGGACACCCCCATGAGGGGCCTCTTAAATATATTTAGGCAAACAAAATCATAAATGTTTAGGGTTTCCTTAAAAAAAAATGCTGTTTTGTTATTAAAGGGTGTTTTTTTTGCTTATAAAGCTTTTAAATGTTTTATAAATTTCATTTTTCAAAGTCAATATCATAACTTATTAATAATTACTAATAAAGGTGTCATTTTTATGTGTTCACATTAGGGCTATTCCATAAACTATTGTTTCGGTCAAGTGGTTTAAAATAATCAACTGTAGCTAAACGGTGTCTGTATTTTCCTACAGAAAACTAGATTTTTTCTTACATCATGTACATTTATTAGTCTCATTGTTAAATAAAGCAATCAAAAACCATATCTCAAAAGTGAAAATAGTCAAAACCAATGATGAACTTTACAGTATATCAAAATTTTAATAGGATTTGATCAAGTACATGTATACTCAAGCTATCTCACAGAAACATAAAGTGCCATTTTGTATTCAAACAAAGACAGCAAAATTGAAATTGTCAAAATTGTATTTGACCTCCATTTTGTTTTCAGTTACAATAATTAAAACCAATAATGACCTCCATTTTGTCATGAGAACCAATACTGTAAATTCAGAAATTATTGCTTGCATTTATTATTGCAATTTTTGAATAATAGACAAAAATGCGAGATTAATTATTGCGATATCTGGAATAATTGCATACATATATATCTATCAGATATCAGAATGCAAGTTCTTATTATTGTGATACCCACCCAGTCACATTATTCGCAATAATAAAAACCTCACAATAATTTCTGAATTTACAGTATATCAAAATTTTAATAGGATTTGATCAAGTACATGTATACTCAAGCTATCTCACAGAAACATAAAGTGCCATTTTGTATTCAAACAAAGACAGCAAAATTGAAATTGTCAAAATTGTATTTGACCTCCATTTTGTTATCAGTTACAATAACTAAAATTTGAAAATCAATGGTTGAATGGTTCTTTAGTTATGGCACTGAAACAGCTGGAGCTATGCAATTGCCTGTCCGTTGTACTATTCAAACTTAATCAAATGATTTTCTGTCAGTCAACCTGGTTAAAAACTTTTATCATGATCACCATTATGTGATAATTGCATGTAAATAAATATTACCAAAATAAATATATACCTAATGAATACATGAATGCTTTGGACATTCCATCCTTCAGTTGACTAATTTTCTCTTCACATTCATTCTCTGATACTGTATATCTAGCATCTATATCTCTACCCATCATGCTTAACATCTTTAGCTAAAAATAAAAGCACAAACAGCAAATCAGTTTACTCTTGCTGATGTAAGAATCTCAATGATTCTTTTTGCTTCTGTGTAAAATTGTCAAACTATAATGTTAAGATTAATCGTGGTGTTTGTAAATTTCTATTTCTCTTATTCTTAGCCAATTCATACTTTCTTTGACCAGTTGATTGGTTTTTTTTAATCAACATGTGGTTCTCCATTGGTCAAAATCCAATTATGAAGTCAAATTTTCTTCCTTTTCTCTGAATGTGCTATTGTGTCAATGTGACATCATGAAAAACGTAAGCATGCCAGAAGATGTCACATCAATAAAACACATCTTTTTGTAGATCATTGAAAAAAAATAATTAAGTTTGCTTACATAACGAATAAAAATCATTAGAAAACTTATAACACCACCAAATCTTGCGCAATACAACAATTGCCAATTCTCAATGGTGAAATTTTAAATGTTCTTTTTTAATTTGAAAATTTAACTGTCTCAAGTGGAGAAATATTCTATCCATTCAAATAACCTGGGGTTACAGTGGTAAATGTTTTAGTACTCAAAACTCAGAAATCAACCAATCAAAATTCCGGTTTTGGTGTTTCCAGCCCCTGTAATAATTTCAAGGTCTGAGTACTAGTGCTTTCATTCTGCTTGGTATCTGGTTCATACACAAATTATTATAGCTATGACTCATTCCTTGCAGATTTAGAACTGACCCCATACAATCAATTCTGGAAAAGCACTTGCTGTACAAATATAATTAGTATTATTCTTACTTTCATATAAGACATGAATCCACCCTCTTCTTCATCTTCTCTCTTTCTTTTCTTCAACAATTCTTTGATCAGTTCAGGATTTGTGTCTAAATGTTCCATCAATTGCTACAAAGAAAATTAGTGTGCATTACAATAGAAGAACAGGTTTAATTCTAATGATCTAATAAATCTTAAAATCTATTCTTGAGCAATTACAAAACTCCTTCACGTTTTCAGTTTATGTATCTTAATAATAAATGTAGGACTATGCCTGCCTTAAATTGCTGGCAAAAAAAACAAATATTCTGAAACTTCAATCTTATTCATGCTTATTATGCCATAATCATGTTAATGCTATCTTACTCTTGTTAATTCAGATAAAACTAAGATTAAAATTGTCTTAAAATAATGTCAGAAAAGGGTCAAATAAAATCAAAACTCAGTCTTACAATCAGACAAATTTGACAAAATTAAGACAATAAAATTTGTGAGGGTGAAAGAAAATGGCAATTTAGGACATTTTTAAAAGTTGACCTTCTGTCAACTGCCATAGCAAGAACTATTGTCCACTTTTCACTGTGATGGTAAGTGATGACTCATTGTCAATAAAGACAACTTATATCCATATACTAAGAGTCAAGAAAATATTTGGAAAAAAATCATCAAAACTGATATTTTTTCATTTATCAATCATGCTATAAATGCCTAGTAATGGAGCATTTAACATTGAGCAACATAATTAAATCCCAATAATAATTAAGTTGTAGTGACATTATATAATTCATCAAACTGTTGTTGACAAAAAACCTGTAGAGCCTTTTCTGTTTCTGTCTGTGCTTGATCTTCAAACTGCTCTTTAGTTATCAGTTGACAAAAACCAGTCTTCATCGGGAAGGCTTCATCAAACTCATCACAATTTTCTAATCTGTTGTCTTCCATGATGAGAGATTGACCAACAATTCAGTACTATGTTTTTTCTGTGAAAGAAAAAAATTATATTAATAATAAACTTATTTAGGTCATAGAAAATGAAAATAATATAATCATCAATAATGTACAATCATATATATGCTTCTGAAGGAAGAATTAATAGTAGGATGGTCAACTTGACACCTGTCGTCTGGTCGGGTTGTTCTCTTTGACACATTCCCATTCTCAATTTTATTGAGTCATACCACTAACAACACTCCTAACCCTTCAACAACATGGTGACAATAATATGGGGGTCGATAAAACCATTTCTGTTTCCCAGGAAGGCGTCAAAGCAAAAAAAATAAAATAGCCTTTCAAGACGTCATAATTATTTGGACTAGGGTCATTAGGAGACAAATCAGCAAAATACCCAAAAGTGTAAATTTAAATTTTATGCATCTATTCCATAGCTATTTATGAAAATAATTTAAGATACCATAGAAATTGGATTGAAGTGAAAGGATCACATCTTTGGAGACTTGTGACATTGCAGTTGAAAAGTAAAAACAAACATGCAAATCTTCTTGTCAACTTGATTAGCCTTCTGGAGATCATCATCAGGTAGCACAAGTCCAAATAATTATGACATCTTGAATCAGAAAGGCTATTTTCATGTTTTGCTGTGATGCCTTCGTCTTATGTAGTGTAATAGGAGGGTTTGGTTGGATAAGGTTTGCAAGGTTCTTATGATACGGCCTCAATGTATGATGCACTTTAAGCTTGACGAATACCCAGTGATAGCTCAACTCAAACCGGTATGCTGTTGATAACTCGTATTCTATATATTTACAGTGTTCCAGCTAGCATGAAATGGAGGGGCGCCGCGCCCCGCCCCCGAAATTTTGCGCCCCTCTGCCTTTTTTAAGCGCCCCTGTGCCCCTCTGTGCCCTTTTGAAAAAAGTTTAGACAACGATCTTTTTTCCTCATATCGTCGCCATTTTGTTGAGTTCTTTATACACACACTTCATTAAGACAACAGATTAAAATTGTTAACACTTGTTACCTGTATATAATCACCTATTTGATTAGAGTCAATTACTTAATCAGGTGAAATTTACCACCCTGTCTAATCCCTTTGCCCTGAAGCACCAAACATCCAAGTTAAATGAATTGATTTTTTAACACCTGACGATGCAAAATAGAATTTATAAAATAAAAGTGAACGGTGTTCATTTCTATTGTAATTGTTATTTATAAAATAACGTTCATTAAAAAAGAATCATTCCAATAGTATATATTGTAAATCGTCAACACGCAAAATGCCGACGAAAAAAAGAAAAATTGACCAACTCGAAAATGACAAGAAGAAAATATCAAAGACATGCCAGTCTATTACATCTTTTTTTCAAGAATAATGACCATCAAAGGTAAAAAAATAATTTAATTCTTTACCTTTATGAAAAATCGAGAAGAAGAAAGGTTTCTATCAGATATCGCAATTGTTCTTCTATTGTAAATTCCGCCGATTACGGAGCACTCGAAAGTCCGATTTTTATATCATTTTTCTTAAATTGAAATCCGTTTTGACTTACTTTAATATTGATATTATTAGATACGCTCAACATGAAATATACGGATATGCATGTTGAATTGATAATAAACTTTCAAAGTCGAATTAATTTATTATTGTGCCGATTACGGAGCTCTCGAAAGTCCGATTTTTGTATCAATTTTCTTATTGAAATCCGTTTTGACAAACTTATTGATATTATTAGATACGCTCAACATGAAATTTACGGATATGCATGTTGAATTGATAATAAACTTTCAAAGTTGAATTAACAAACTTATTTGTTGAATCAATATATTTCTCAAGATCGAAATAAAGACAATTGTCTCATTGGCACTCTTATTTAAATTCACAACCAAACCTACACAATTTTCAATGTATGTAATAGTATAGAGTATTTAACTTAGCTACATGCTTGCTAAAAATATGTCATTATGTGGTAATATTAAGTATTTGATTTTTTTCAGGAGAACGCGCTAAAGTGCCCTTTTTTAAAAACGCGCCCCTCTATTTTCAAATCCTAGCTGGAACACTGTATTTACTTTGTATTTTTAAACATGTTAAAGGTGTACTCTATTCAACAAGTGTAAAGTAGTATCAAATATGTAGACAAAATTGAATCAAAAGTAAATGGGGAGTATAATTTAGCAATGTAAACTATTATCAAAAATAGAGAGGTATCAAGGAACAAATTAAATAAATTTACTCTAAATTTATACAAACATGACAAATGGATCAATCTATTATTTGAGCGTTTTGAACAGACCAGGTTAACTTACCAGCAGAGTGGAAAGCTTCACCATATCAGACAGGAAACCTGTCTTTAGACAAATTTGAACAAAACCCGGTAATTGCAATATATCTATATGTGAAAGTTTATAAAATAGGGTATGATATGAAACTTAGAAGTGCAAATTAATCAATTATAACAATTTACTCCTGAATAACTAAAAGATTTCAATTACATGAATTATAGACGATCTTATTATAAATTAAATGCCAAAGATAAAACTGAACATATGATAAAGTAATTAGTGAAAAGGTAATTAAACATTTGTCATACGGCCTAGCCACAATCAGATGTAATATGAAATGTACCTATTAGGTCTATGTTATAGGCTTCTATAGACAAGAAGATGAACTTAATTTAAGTATTACATCTTTCAACTAAAGGAAAGAATAAAGGGCTTCACAATGCATATCAAATATCATGTATATGTGTGACCATTTTGAAAAAAAACACTAAAATACACGATAAAAATGGGCAAAATTTCACGTTATGTTGTTTCATTTAAAAATACACTGTTTTTATCAATTGATAGTTAATAAGTGAACCTAATTTGAACTACATTATTGATTCACTGTTATAGACAATTTATTCATCTTTCTTTTGCTGGTTGTTGCAACAAAAAATCTTCAGTGGTTACAAAGTTATGATAAAAAGTGGAATACTATGCGTTCGTTATGCAATTTTGTATTTTTGTTTTTACCTTGTATAGTGTAGTAATAAAAGAGAAAAATAAATGAAATTTATGCTTTTATGTGTTTTGTTTTCTCTTCTTGTATATGAATTATCAAAAACTACCTAATATATCTATATTGCAGTACCCTAGCTGGCGATATATGCCATCTAAAATGGATATACAAATAAAGTGAAAAAATGTCTTGTCCGTAGACATGCATTTCCTAATAAACTGGAAGTGTAATAACATAAATGTTGCATTGCTAAGTTCCTGCTCTTTTGTAGATATGAAAACACTACAAACATTAATTTCTACCATCTTTTAAGAGGAAGAATTTGAAAAAAATGTCAGAATGTCTTGTCCATAGACACATCTTGTACGTACAAATGACTTTATATCAATATTGATTGGCTTTATGGATCTAAATTGTTCATATGTGTTGTTTAAACTTAGAAATATATTTTTTTTGATTAATTAATGGTTATTTAACTGTTCTCATTTTTTGTAAAATTACTTTACAGGAGTGGATTCTAAAAAGTGGCAAATTGTCAGTCATAAAAAGCATACCTTATTTTACTTCAATATTTTTATTCCAGTTGCTTCATAACTTAAAAGATAAACTTAATCAAATGAAGAAATAGTATTTCTCTCTCTCTGACTTTATCTTTTGCATTTTAGGATTACCAGCAAATGACGAAGTGTCTACCATTGTCTACAGACAAGACACTTGTACATAACAAGTATTAAATTCAATTATTTGTCTACTTTGGAACTTAAATCTAATTTATAGGTGATGAAAGTTCTTTGAACACATTAAAACTCAGTATTTTCAACATAAATGTAATCACGCAATTATTTCTAACAGATTGTTTATTCAACTGAAATTGTCTTGTCCGTAGACATTACCACAATCTATTTGTTTCCAATTTCCTCGAGTTCAGCCTCATTTGATAGATAAAATGTATGTTATTTTTTCAAGAGAACACATTCAACTATGTCAAAATTGAGTTTTAATAAAAGTTTGACTTTGTCTTCATTTTTGCTTAATCAATAAAATTTTGAGATATGTAAAGAATCATTGGTAAATTTTTATAAATTCCAAAAATTAAAAAACACAGCTTATAATTAAATGGGTAACTTAATCTTAAGTTTAACAATTATCTTTTTAATGCATTTAATTAAATATCAATAAAATGTCTTGTCCGTAGACATTATCACAATGTATTTGTTTCCAATTTCCTCGAGGTTCAGCATCAATTGATAGATAAACATGATAAAATGTATGTTATTTTGTCAAGAGAACATATTCCACTATGTCAAAATTAAGTTTTAATAATGCATTTAATTAAATATCAATAGCAATGTCTTGTCCGTAGACAAAACAAATAAATTGTATTGCTAACTTTGATTGTTTATTGTAAGAATATGCATCAAGTTATTTTAATGTTCTATACACCAAAAGAAAGGGTTTTTTTAAAAGTTTTGTTATTAATAGATTATTTTAGAAATAGTTTGATCAGATCAGAGTAATGATCAAAGAAAGCTACTGTTGTTTGAAATAATTGTGAGTTAAACATGTTCTTGTCATTTTTTTTTTATTAAAATGTTTGATATTCAATAATTCTAAACATACTTTGTTGTCTTTGTCATTGGACAAAAATTTGAAACTGGTGACCTTGTCTTAAAGGCAACCATTAAAGAAGATTAGACAGTTTTAAAACACCACTTATTTAATAAAAATATAAAATATTTCTTCCCAAAACTGCATGTAATTATATAAATGCTTCAAGTGTTAGCCTTATGACGGCCATTTTTCATAATTTAAACCATTTCTGTACCAAAATATCAAAAGGGTTTTTGACTGATGTGATCTTTATTTTTGACTTCATGTGAAACACAAATTGTACATCTGATTGTGGCTAGGCCGATAGAACATAACTCCATTTTCTTACATTAGGAAGGCATCACAGCAAAACATTAAAGTAACAATAAAGACATCATAATACACCTTATCGCTATTTGTCCACCATTACTGGACATCACAAAGGTTCCCGTTAAATTTTGACGTCGCAATAGAAAATAACTGACGCCACAATGGAAAAGTGATTGTTGTATGACGTCAATTTTTATAGTTCAAGCGGCGTAGATTCTCAGGTCAAGCAGCGCAGATTTGCAAATAGCGATAAGGTCTATTGTATAGACAACTGCTGGTGGCAACTGTCTTATAGTGTCAATGTATATATTTGTTCCACCTAACAGAAGTTCCACTGGAAACTTTGTTATCAACAATGTCATAATATCTGTTCCTGTTGGAACAAATATTCTATACCATTTATTTCGTAAGGAACATTTACTGTAATATTCATTCCAATGGAAACAATATTCCAGAATACTGTTTCCATAAACGTATTTACACTTTTGGTATTTAGCTATATTTTGCCTCCGAATGACCTTAGATCTACTCCGAATCACCTTTTGACGTCAGGCAACAATCACTTTTTAATTGTGACGTCAAACATGTCAAATGTTTTGAATTATGATGTCAAAGTTTACAGGAACCCGTGTGATTTTACGTAATGGCAGACAAATTTGCAAATGTAAATACGTCTATTTGGAACTTATATTATGAAGGAACTTCTATTTCGTGACAATAGGACTAGTTTAAATAATTATGGCATGTTGAAACTCAGTGTTGAAAAGCTATCTTAATGTTTTGCTGTGACAACTTTCTAGGTATTACAATTTATTTCAATTATTTTGCTGTTATGGTTCAAAGTATTCTTGGTCTTTTTTTTTACTATTTAAGAAATTAAGTATTTAACTATACACCTTATCGCTATTTGTCCGCCATTATAGGACATCACAAAAGTTCCCGTAAAATTTTGACGTCACTATAGAAAATATCTGACGCCACATTATTATTAATGGAAAAGTTATTGTTGTTTGACGTCAAAAGTTCAAGCGGGACAGATTCTCGGGTCAAGCGATGAGGTGTATTTTGCTGTGACACCTTCCTACACCTTTTTTTTATTTTTGTTGTTTTGATGTGACGTCTTTCTTTTTAATAGCCTTTCAAAATGTCATAATTATTGGACTACAGGTAGCACCTGTCTTCTATCAGGAACATATATTAGATATACTGTTCCAGACCCCTTAGTTCAGAAAAATGGGTTTAAACTTTAAATTCAAAAACTTGTCTTTTGTTCTGTCTATCATGGAGAATTATTTTGTTATTTTGTTTTCGAAAAGCAGTTGGTGTAAAAGCTTACATTTTTGTTTCCAACTAAATAAACATAATAAAATCAACAAAACAATGAAAATGTAAGCAAATCTGTGTTCAAAATTTCCGCCATTTCCGGTTCTCGCACCTGGTAGAAAACACGCGAGGTAACTGTCACATCCGGGTTACTGTTTGGCGATATATGGTCGCCATTTGTGAGATTTTCTAAGCGATCAAAGATCGCTGAATTGCGTAATTCCAAGCGCATCCAAGCTTTTTGGGGCTCGTGTTCCCCAAGTTGTTTATTTTAAGTTCACTAACTCTCAAAATCTTAACATTTAAAAGGTCAAAATTCTATAAGAATTTTGTTTTTTTCTCTTGTATTGTGCAATCATGGAGCTGTAAAAATGGTGTCTGTGAAAATCTATTTCTGTCAAATTCCTAAAGGAAAGGCCTGTGGGTCGAACCTCGGTAAAACAGAGATTGATGTTAGAGGAGAGTGCTATTACAATGGAAAAGAAATCAAACAATCGTCCTTCTTCTGCTCCACAAAAACAAAATGGTTCAGAATCTAAAAAAACTGGTGAGAATCTGTATAATTTAGAAGTCAAACAGGTAGCTGTGGGGGTTGACCACAGTCGTATGATGTTGCTTCTGTTTATGAAATTATGTAGATGTTGCCTTAGTTGCGTAGCTGTAGCTCTTGTGGCCAGACACATACTATTATGTGTCTTTTATGGCATATGGTCTGCTAATTTAAAAAAAAATATCAATCATATAAAGTACCATAAGAGCTAGTCTAAATAATTATGACATCTGGAAATTCTGTTTTAATTTTTTTCTGTGATGCCTTCCTATGACAGAAAAAAATTGAAATAGTCTTTCAAGACGTGATTATTATTTGGACTACATTTATAAACTAAGGACAGTAAGGTTCAACAGAACATGTTTCCTATGAATGAGAACTAGCCCCCTTATGAGAATATTAAAAAAAGAATTCCTGTAACATATATATTTTTTTCAAACCACAGGCCTGACTCACTTTTTAGTAATTAAAATCCTGGGCCTGATACAAATTTTATAAAGGCGGTACCTTAATCATGTTAATCAATCAATATATACTTAGGATTTCATAATACATGTATCTGATTTGTATGTATATGTAGCATGTGTGTGAATAGGGTATTAGTTATAAGTATGGATTCTGGTCATGAGACTGAGTGCAAATTTAATTATGTAAATTTCTTGGAAAAGAACACCAACTTAAATTGACTTAAACATGCAAAGACTATAAAGATTCCAGATTGAGAATATGGATGAACACATGCACGTATTAACACTTTTGGTATTGAGCTATATTTTGTCTCCGAATAACCTTAGATATGTCTCGGAATGACCTTCTGACGTCAGGCAACTATCACTTTTTAATTTTGACGCCAGATTTTTTAAATTGTGATGTCAAGTTTTACAGGAACTTGTGTGATTTTAAGTACATGTGTAAGGGTGGACAAATTAGCATACAAGTGTAAATATGGCTATTGGGTGTCATTTAAACATTCATGTTGGAAAAACTGCTTCAAGATTCATAACATACACTTGATATAGTTGCTGAATAGTTAATAAAATAGAATGAAGAAAAGTAAATTTCAACTATAAAGTTACTAATAGATATTAAATATATTTACAGATCATGGAAATCAAAAGCAACTGTCAAATAAATATGCAAAAAGGAGAGAAACTAACAACAGTAAATCGTATTATCAAGAATCAAGTCCACGACGTCCAACACCACAGAAAAATAAATATGCTATGGATAAGAGACCTAGACCCAGGGGAGGAGGATTTCCAAGAGAAGACGTAATTACTCCATTATATTTACACTTTTGCTTGATTATAGTTTGTTTTAAATTTCTTATTATTTGCACATTGTTTGTGAAAGAAACAAAAAAAATTTTTTAAACAGTAAAGAGATTTTCAAAATGAATTGTGTATAGTATTTAAAAAAATTAAAGTTTAAAAATTATTTTTCAGTTGTTAAGACATTTAATCAATAGTTCAAAATACTTCAGAATAATCTGAACACATATTATGACCTTTAAAATTTGATAGGAAAAGGGAAGTAACTCTATGTTTTTAATGTAAACAGTTATATATTGCACAACATATTGCAACTTCCTTTCAACATTTTCAAAGTTTAATTTGAAAGCAGGAGGATAAGAAGAAACAGGGATGACATTTTGGTTGAAAATTCTAAATTCTGCAAACTATAAATATAACAGTAGTATTTCTAGTAGTGGCTTCTTAGTACATGAACTATTATTGGGTAAGATTTATAATTTTTGAAATACTTATAAAACATAAACTTTTATTGGGTAAATTTATAATTTTTATTGTCAATAGACTTCACTGTTTGTAAAGATAATTAGAATTATTCGCAGTCTACACAATAAAAATAATATGACTTTAGATTTTATTTAATTTAAATAAGTATGAAGTACAATTGATATGAAATGAACTATTAACGTATAAGGCTAAGTATACACAATTCGACAGTATGTTAATTCTTAAAAATTTTGAACATTTCCATATAGGCTTGTTTTGAATAGAACATATTCTGCACCTGAATATTGAAAGGACCAATGAAGCTTTAACACTTCCAGAGATACATAACAATCAATAAAAAAATTGAAACTGATAACACTTGATATAATTATTTTGTATCTTGATAAACAGGTGACAGAGGAGTACCCTGTTGATTATGGTTCACCTCTATTAAAAGGAAAAAAGGTTAATTTAAACCATTTACTGAATTTCTCCTATGCTCGGAATGATTCTTATGAAGAACCCCCTCACTGGAGTGGAGGGGGGAGGGGCAGTGGCAGGAGAAGGACTAGTGGAAGAATTAGCTATAACAAGGAACAGTTCCTACAAGCAAAGTAAATATAGTTTTCCAATTTAGATATTTGTATGTATCAGTGGGAATTGTTTAAATAGTGCTAAGAAAATCTTATGTAGATGAGAAGTTATAGTTGCATGTGGTACACATCTAATTTCCTTTAAAAGTTATACTTCATTGCAGTCTTCACGATAAACTTTTAAATCTACAGGCCCGGAGCCTAATTTTTGGAAAATTTTAGTTAGATTCTGTTGGCCTGTAGAGATGATTTTTATAGGCCCGAAAGACATTTTACAAGCCTGGGCTGCTGGGCCTGTGGTTAAGTGTGCAGACTGTCATTGATAGTTTATATTTAGCATTTGACCAAAATAGCTGTACAGTATTTGTAAGGTGATACAGTTATAATACACTAGAAGTCTTTGAATCAGTAAACAAAAGTTAAGACCAAAACAGGTCACAATAATCAACATGCTGGTGTCAATATAAAAAAACAAAAAAGTTTTGATTTGTTATTTCGTTATTTGTGAAGGTACTGAAATGTAATTTTGAATTTTCATGAATATTTTTTTATTTTACAGCTATCAGTTTATTGTCAAAGAAGATGGGGATTATGCCATACATAACATTGATCCTGACAAATTAGTGGATTGGGATAGTGTGGAACTCATTGTAAGTAATTCTGATAGGACCACACTAATACCCTTTTCAATTTGCTTCTAACTTTGAGTTGACTAAAAACACTGTTACTTGTAGATATGTATCTTGAAGATGAGGAAACATTGTTATACTTCAAAAATTGAGAACCCCTTGGTAAAATACAACATTCGACATAGACTGACACTCTTAATCTTAAAACTGCAAATATAAGTTTGTTATTATACGACCGCAAAAATTGAAAATTTTTTGGTCGTATATTGGTATGACGTTGGCGTCATCGTCGTCGTCGTTGTCGTCGTCGTCGTCGTCGTCGTCCGGCGTCGTCTGGCGTCGTCCGAAGACACATTGGTTTTCGCACTCTAACTTTAGTTTAAGTGAATGGATCTCCATGAAATTTTACCATAAGGTTCAATACCATGAAAGGAAGGTTGGGATTGATTTTGGGGGTTATGGTACCAACAGTTAAGGAATTAGGGGCCAAAAAGGGGCCAACAATAAGCATTTTTGTAACTTCCAGACAATAACTTGTGTGTAAGTGTATGGATCTCTCTGACATTGTACCACAAGGTTCCATATCACAAAGGGAAGGCTGTAATTGATTTTGGGGGTAATTGCCTCAAAATGTTAGGAATTAGGGGCCAAAAAAGGGGCAAAAAACAAGCATTTTTCTAGTTTCATGACAATAACTTGTGTGTAAGTGTTTGGATATTTCTGAAATTGTACTACAAGGTTCCATATCACAAAGGGAAAGCTGGAATTGAGTTTGGGGGTAATTGCCCGAAACGTTTAGGAATTGGGGGCCAAAAAGGGGCCAAAAATAAGCATTTTTCTAGTTTCCAGACAATAACTTGTGTTCAAGTGTATGGATCTCTCTGAAATTGTACTGCAAGGTACCATACCACAAAGGGAAGGCTGAGATTGAGTTTGGGGGTGATGAATCATAAGGGGGTTCAAAAAATTTGGGGGGGGGGGGATTTTTTTTTTTTTCTTTTTTTTTTCTTTTTTTCCTTTTTTTTTTTCTTTTAAAATTTTCCATTTTAAGTTGGTTATTTCTGATTTATATTTAAAAGCAAATAATAATGATATGGTAGGAGATACACACCAAACAGGATGTGTAAATTATTATATAATAAGTATTGTGCAATAGCAAGAAATTTTCAATTGCACAGTATTGCACAATAGCAAGAAATCTTCAATTGCACAGTATTGCGCAATAGCAAGAAATCTTCAATTGCACAGTATTGCGCAATAGCAAGAAATATCCAATAGCACAATATTGCGCAATAGCAAGAAATTGTCAATTGTACAGTATTGCGCAATAGCAAGAAATAATCAATTGCACAGTATTGTGCAAAAGAAGATACTTCGTATAAATTGCTTATTTCTTGATCAATTTCAATGGGGTTTTATTCTTGAATTCTTGGGGTTCTTTAATATGCTGAATCTAACCGTGTATTAAGTTTTTAGATTTTGGGCCCCGTTTTTAAATTGGTCCACATTGAGGTCCAAAGGGTCCAAAATTTTACTTTGTTTGATTTCATCAAAAATTGAATTATTGGGGTTCTTTGATATGCCGAATCTAACCGTGTATTTAGATTCTTAATTTTTGGTTCTGTTTTCAAATTGGTCTACATAAAGGTCCAAAGTGTCCAAAATTAAACTTAGTTTGATTTCAACAAAAATTGAATATATGGGGTTTTTTGATATGCTGAATCTAACCATGTATTTAGATTTTTGATTATGGGCCCAGTTTTCGAGTTGGTCCAAATCGGGGTCCAAAATTAAACTTTGTTTGATTTCAACAAAAATTGAATATATGGGGTTCTTTGATATGCTGAATCTAACCATGTATTTAGATTTTTGATTATGGGCCCAGTTTTCAAGTTGGTCCAAATCGGGGTCCAAAATTAAACTTTGTTTGATTTCAACAAAAATTGAATATATGGGGTTCTTTGATATGCTGAATCTAACCATGTATTTAGATTTTTGATTGTTGGGCCCCGTTATCAACTTTGTCCACATTGAGATCAAAAGGGTCCAAAATTAAACTTTGTTTGATTTCATCAAAAATTGAATATATGGGGTTCTTTGATATGCTGAATCTAACCATGTATTTAGATTTTTGATTATGGGCCCAGTTTTCGAGTTGGTCCAAATCGGGGTCCAAAATTAAACATTGTTTGATTTCAACAAAAATTGAATATATGGGGTTCTTTGATATGCTGAATCTAACCATGTATTTAGATTTTTGATTATGGGCCCAGTTTTCAAGTTGGTCCAAATCGGGGTCCAAAATTAAACTTTGTTTGATTTCAACAAAAATTGAATATATGGGGTTCTTTGATATGCTGAATCTAACCATGTATTTAGATTTTTGATTGTTGGGCCCCGTTATCAACTTTGTCCACATTGAGATCAAAAGGGTCCAAAATTAAACTTTGTTTGATTTCATCAAAAATTGAATATATGGGGTTCTTTGATATGCTGAATCTAATCATGTATTTAGATTTTTGATTATGGGCCCAGTTTTCAAGTTGGTCCAAATCGGGGTCCAAAATTAAACTTTGTTTGATTTCAACAAAAATTGAATATATGGGGTTCTTTGATATGCTGAATCTAACCATGTATTTAGATTTTTGATTATGGGCCCAGTTTTCAAGTTGGTCCAAATCGGGGTCCAAAATTAAACTTTGTTTGATTTCAACAAAAATGGAATATATGGGGTTCTCTAATATGCTGAATCTAACCGTGTATTAAGTTTTTGGATTTTGGGCCCCGTTTTTAAATTGGTCCACATTGAAGTCCAAAGGGTCCAAAATTTAACTTTGTTTGATTTCATCAAAAATTGAATTATTGGGGTTCTTTGATATGCCGAATCTAACTGTGTATTAAGATTCTTAATTTTTGGTTCCGTTTTCAAATTGGTCTACATAAAGGTCCAAAGGGTCCAAAATTAAACTTAGTTTGATTTTAACAAAAATTGAATTTTTAGGGTTCTTTGATATGCTGAATCTAAACATGTATTTAGATTTTTGATTATGGGCCCAGTTTTCAAGTTGGTCCAAATCGGGGTCCAAAATTAAACTTTGTTTGATTTCAACAAAAATTGAATATATGGGGTTCTTTGATATGCTGAATCTAACCATGTATTTAGATTTTTGATTTTTGGGCCCTGTTATCATTTTTGTCCACATTGAGATCAAAAGGGTCCAAAATTAAACTTTGTTTGATTTCATCAAAAATTGAATTCTTGGGGTTCTTTGATATGCTGAATCTAACCATGTATTTAGATTTTGGATATTGGACCATAATAGGTGAATGTCCAATTTAAAATTTTTAAGTTCTTAGACCACATTCATTCTGTGTCAGAAACCTATGCTGTGTCAAATATTTAATCACAATCCAAATTCAGAGCTGTATCAAGCTTGAATGTTGTGTCCATACTTGCCCCAACTGTTCAGGGTTCGACCTCTGCGGTCGTATCAAGCTGCGCCCTGCGGAGCATTTTATTACATTTCATTAGATTGATATGACTTGTGAGGTCTCTTTTCAGTTTATTGGCCCTGGCCGTTTGGCTTGTGGTTAATCACGAAGACGGGTCACTGACTGACAAATGTACAACAAAAGAAGATCAAACAATTGACATGTGCAAACACATCAAAACTAAAACAAATTAAGGCTTGGTCAGAATAACTTATATCAAAACTAGATCTATGTGATACTAATTGCTCCTGAAAATATTTTGTTTTATTATTTTCCATACATTTTATCTTGAGAAACAAAGATATATGGTTAGAGTAAAATACATTATTTAAGATGTTGCATTTCTTTTAATTTTAAAGTTACAAGTAGGACCATTGCACTTCCACACATAACTGCTTTAAACTAGATTTCTGTTATTTTCAGAAAGTGAACAGTCATGAAATATCATCTTGTCCTATATGCTTAGACAAACCATTAGCAGGTAAGACATTGAGATACCTCTGCGAAATATATGTAGGCTTATTTCAGATGTTTAAGAGGGAGTATTGAGTTTTACCCTTGTCCGTCAGTACGTCCCAAAATTAGAAATTAGTTTTCGTTCTCCAACTTTACTTTGCCTCAACCAAATGTTATGAAAGTTGCACACAATGCTTATTACCACCAAACATAGATAAAGTTCAAATTTGTGTTGTGTCACACTACCGTTTTCCCAGAGTTCACGAAAATGGTAGGTCCTGTCGGTCCTGTCGGTCAAAATGAGGCTCGATGACCGATGTAAAAACGGCCGTTGTAGTGCATATTTCGGCACTTTTTTACATTGGTTATTAGATGTACCGCAACTGTTTCCAACAAGTGTTTACATCGGTTATCAGATGTATCCGCTGCCAATTTCTGGTACTGGTTTACAGATTTATTATAAACAAACCAAAGCGGCGATCTACACGTGGCCTACTTAATTTGTCCATAGAGCCATCCCTGGCAAACTATCGGCGATTGAACCCTACAATGGAGCAAACAAATACTGTAACAGCCGAGAAAGTGATTCAGATGATGAAATGGATAGTGAAGATGACTTTAAATAAGAACAATCAGAAGACCTGAACTGGTCCTTCATTGTTAATTTGCCTGTGGGTGCGAAGAATAAAACTAATATTAATAAAGTTATTTTTCAATAAAATATGTTATCAATTTTTTCTCAGGATAAAATTGACAGATTTTGTAGGACTGGCTAAAATTTTGTAGGACTGACAAATAATCATGCTTTGTCGGTCCCATGTCCGACGGGTCAAAATAAGTTTTCGCGAACTCTGTTTTCCAGTAATGTCCCTTTATAAATAAAAAAAAAAATGCTAAATTTGCTGTTTCCGCGCTTTAACTTTTAGTTTGCCTGAACCAAATGTTATGAAAAAATTATATAATGCTTATTATTTGGGTGGTGTCACTTTCACGGTTCTCAAGTTATCTCTTTTTGTAAATTGAAAAATTTCTGAATTTGCCTTATATTTACAAGCAGGGGCATGGACAGATTCTTCATTTAAATTAGATAGTATTTGTGAAACTAAAGATAAACTTGATTTGATTGAAAGAAAAACTTTTTTTCTCTCTCAATGTAATTTACTTAGATTATTTTAAAAATTCTAAGCCTTGGCTGAAATTGTATTTCATATGTATTGCAAAAATATAATATCATAATTGAACCTTGAGTTTCCACAATAGAGGTTAAACTATTTACATGTTAATAGTATTTGATATGATTCAGATTTTTCAGCTGTGAGAAATATGTTATTACTATTCATTTGGATATTTTATAAAATATTTGAATTATTTCAGCAAAAATGACCAGATGTGGCCATATTTACTGTTGGCCATGTATTCTCCATTATCTGGCATTAGGAGAGAAAACTTGGAGGAAATGTCCTATATGTTATGAAGCTATACATGATAAGGATTTGAAAAGGTAGGCTTTACTATTTTAGATGAGAAGCAAGCATGAAATCTCCACTACCTTTTGTAAAAGCTGTTGATCAGCCTTGTTCAAAACTACCTTTATAACAGCTGTATTGATCAATGGTCAAACGTCACCAAATACATTGTGAAATCCTATATCAAAAAGCATATCTGAGAATTTTTTTAAGAGACTTCTTTTTGTCAAAATTTTCAAATGTATCTCAAAAACTAGGACACACGTCTCCATAATTTTGATGTATTAAACATTATTGTTTGAAAAAGATGTTACTTGTGAAAATATTTATTTGAGATTCAGCTTCATATATTCTCGATACAAACAAACAAATTTTTAAATATATTCATGTTATATATAACTTTCATGACATGTTTCTCAGGAGAAATAAATCAGAGCTGCCTGAAATTTGGTATCTAGCTTCATGTGAGCACGCTTTATTGTGTGATGTGTTTTCATATCCATGATTTATCACCAATTTCCTGTATAATGTAATATCTTACCCCTATACATTTCTAGGAATTTGATTGGTTAAAAGCAACCACATTGAAACCGTGTATATTTCATATTAGGTTAGTAGGCGGGGCTTATTTCAATACACGGTTAGTAGTGGTGTTGCGTCCTTTTATAAAAAACAACATGGTGTTGAGAAAAAAATCTGAAAGGTTTCAATAGACGAAGAAATTGATGAGAAACAATTGAAATAAATTGAAAGTTCATAAAACACATTAAAAGCTAACAAGTTGTTATTGTTGGCCACTAGTCTAAATATCACATGTTAAGATAGTCGGTAAGATTAATTCGTTACATAGTGTGCTAATGACCCCATATATATCATATATGGTCACTAGCACACTATGTAACTAATAATATCATTTGTGAGCAATATTGCACAGTTCAGCTTGTTGAAAAGAAGGAAAAAAATAGATAAATCAATTGTCTTGTTCCAGAGGCAAAAAGATGTAAAATTTTAAATTGTTTGGCAACGGTTTTGAACATATAGTGTATTCTTTTGCAGTGTTGTAACACAGGAAGTTCATAAATACAATACAGGGGAGACAATTACAATGACACTGATGAGGAGAGAGAAAGGAATGACATATGCCTTGCCCAAAGCCATGTGGGAGAAGAAGGAAGGAAAAATACATAGTTACACAGGTAATAATTTAAGCTTCATATGACTTTTTTTATTTTTTTATTCAGTCTGTAGATAAAACTTTTACTTGCAGGGATTAAATCATGTGAGAGTACCTTGGTCTCGATATTGGTTTTGGTCTGAGGGTTTCACTTTTTTTATGGGGCCTTTTCACATGGTGAAGTTATTATTTAATGATCACTAATAAGTTGTTTAGTATCACTGCAGGATTTTATCATTATAAAACTGGGTTTTACTTTCTGCCCATGTCAGTTTTCTTATATCTACTGAATAAAATGGCTACTGTGAAAGTATAACCAAACATGAATTACATTTCCAAAATAAATTGAGTGATACAGGTCAGAGGATTTAACATTACAGTAAGAAATTTATAGTTATTTGATTTTTATTTTGTTTAATTCTTATTTTAGATGATGTAAACAAAACAAACTTCCTGAAGTTGTTATCCATATCAGAGGAAGATATTCAGAAGTTTGTAGTGGAACCAGAAAGATTGACATTACAGAGTAAACTACAAGATGCTGAGGTAAAGAAAAAGATTGTTAAGAATTGAAAAAATTTACTCTGTCAGATGATTGAATAATTTTAAGGTTTGAATATAAATGGAATGGAAACATCCCAATGCATGGTGTTGGAGGTTATGGTTTTAAAGTAGAGTTTATGTTATTTGACCAGGGGGTTGGGGGGGGGGGGGGGGGGATCTCAACAAATATTCATCGAATTCAATGTGAAATACTGGTCAAGAATATTCAATAAACAGAGACAATATTTATTAGTTATTTAATGGATTTATGTTATTATCGTTCTGACAATAGTTGCTGAACTTCATAACAGCTGGTAGAAAATGCCATCGTGGAAAGACGATGGCGGTGTTTCCAGATGAAATTCAATTAATTTAATTCCAAACAAAATCATCCCTGATTAAAGAACTAATGGAAAATATTTCCTCTAAATTAGATTTTCTGACAAAATAGGCATGTGTAGTTTAACCACTATGAGATATACATCTTGCTCAATGTGCATTATGCTAAATAATTGAAAAACAAAGGATATGGGTATCCATCCATCACACAAAATCAGTACATGCATAGCAAAGTACAGCGCTTTTATTGCTGTTCTTCATCTCCAAGTCACAGTGAGGCCTTCAACACAGAGCAAAAATACTCTCACCTCACAGCAAGTTTAAGACTACCACTAGCACCGGCTTGAGGGGAATTCTTTGCAAAATAATTGGGATAGATTGGTGCATGGTTATAATTCATGTGATCTTGTTTGGTTTTTCAGACATCAGAAGTTGCTTTTATAGATTCAGCACTACATTTATTAAAGGTAAGTTTGTTGTTGTTTCTTATAGATAACATACATTTTGGATAACATTAACTGAAACCAAAAAAAGATGGAGTCAAAGACATGTTCTATTGAAACAGCTTTGCTATGATAATTTCGAAGAAAAAGGAAAACCAAATAAAAAGGGGCTTTTCTAAATTGAAACTGTTGCAAGGAAAAATATTGCCCCTTATGTTTGGAAGTTTCACCAAATTTAAGTTAACACATCTGCTAAGGGCTGTTCCAAAAATAAAATTTGGAGGGGAGGGGTCACTTATATTTAACCCCGCAATGAATAAGTTTAATTTCTGATTTCCTGTAACTGTTAAGGATAATTTCCTTAAATAATCTCCTCCTATATGGCATTAAATTTTAATAAGAGAGCCCTCTCCATACAATTAGCCCTACCTTAATGTAGCTAATTTATTTGATGTTTTACAGACAAGACAGCAGACAACAGATGGTTCAGGTAACAACAGCAGCAGTAGATCAGAATCTGAATCATCAACAGAAGATATACCAGAACCTGCTGTAACTGTACCTAAAATGCTACCATCTACTAAGGTATATATACACTTTATAATATCTACCATGGTTACAGTAGTTTAAATGGATCAAGAGATTTTAAAAAGAAAAAAGCAATTTTATGCATCCCAATCATAATCAAAAATGCATTCACTTTTATACGACCACAAATTTTTTGTGTTTGTATAATGTTATGTCGTCATCGTCCGAAGACATTTGGTTTCCAGACAATAACTTTAGTATAAGTTTATGGATCTCTATGAAATTGTACCACAAGGTTCCATACCAATAAAAAAGGTTGGGATTGATTTTCGGGTTGTGGCCCTTAATGTTTATGAGAAAGGGGCCAAAAAAATAATTTGTATAAATTGCTTATTCCTTGACCAATTTCAATTGGGTTTAATTCAAAGTTTAGAATTCTTTGGTTTCTTTAATATTCTGAATCTAACTGTGTATTTAGATTTTTGATTTTGGGCCCCATTATTAAAATGGTCCACATTGAGGTCCAAAGTGTTAAAAATTGAACTTAGTTTGATTTCATAAAAAATTGAATTCTTAGGGTTCTCTGATATAAGCTGAATCTAAACATGTATTTGGACTTTTGATATTGGGCCCAGTTTTCAAGTTAGTCCAAATCAGAGTCCAAAATTAAACTTTGTAAGATTACAACAAAAATTGAATTCTTGGGGCTCTTTGATATGCTGAATCTAACTGTGTATTTAGATTATTGATTTTTGGGCCTGGTTTTCAAATTGGTCCACATTAAGGTCCAAAGTGTCCAAAGTTAAACTTAGTTGAATTGAATACATGTATATGGGGTTCTTTGAGATGCTGAATCTAACCATAATTTTGGATTTTGGGCCCCATTATCAAATTGGTCCATATTGATGTCCAAAGGGTCCAAAATTAAACTTAAACTTATGAAGTATTAATCTGTTATATGGGGACTGTAATCAATATCAATATTGCAGTAGGAATTTTTGTATCTTTTAAGTAACCTTAAGAAAAAACAAGGAGGAGACATTCATATCTGTATATATATGTAGAAATTTTTTCTTTGAGTTGTCTTTCCCAGGTTTCCTGTTTCTTTCACTTTAACTTATCTCGGTTTTTGTTTTTGGTGAAAATAAAAAAAGAAAATGTGGTTAGGTTGTGTAAATTTGATAAATAATCTATATGATAACTTTTTCAGGCAAAAAACTATGCATCTGCCTTCTCTGATGATGAAGAAGAAAGTATGGACGTAACACAAAACAGAAGTTTAAGCACTTCTGAGGCTGAAGTTACTGTACCAGATACAGCAAGGACTCCTAGTCCTCCTTCAGAAGCAGTGGCTATTGCCAGTAAACCTGAACCTGAAGATTTGTCAGCTGTCTGTGGTTCCCCCCAGGACCTGAGACAGTCGCCTCCTGTTGATGTTCTACCCGATTCCTTACCAGTAGAGGAAGCAGCTGAATATCTAGAGATGCCAGTCGTTACTGAAGATCAACAGAGTAAAAAGAGACAGTTCAATGACAATGCTTTCTACTTTTATCAAGGTTAGTTTGATAATTTTAAACATTAAGCATGATTTGAAAATTGTGTAATGCTAGTTGCACAGCAACAAGTTGTAAAAAAGATTTCTGTTTATTAAAAGATTAAAGATTTTACAATATAAAAAACAAATTATTATGAATTAGACAACCTTGTGTATTATACTATCTACTTAATCAACAAAGGTGACCATAGAATATTTCTTTTATGACCTGCATACTGAAGTGGAGGGACATTATATTTTCTTGTGCTTGCGACTGTCCTGTACCAGGTTGGTTTTGATGGTGTAAAACTGTAAAATATTGAAATAAGAGTTCGTGTTTAGAAACTTATATATATGTTAATTTACTCTCAGCTTCAGATGGACAACATATCTACCTACATGCCCTGAATGCCAGGTGTTTAGTGAAGGAGTATGGTTCCCTGTCTAACTGTCCAGAGACTATCACTGCAAATATAGTACAGATGGAGAACATATTTATGTCTGAGGTAAGTACTTGGGGAATGCGTTGAGATCGGAGCTTGAGGTAAGCACTTGGGGAATGCGTTGAGATCGGAGCTTTAATATAATAAGTATTCAAATATAAGTATTCTGGACAGTAGGGTTTTGGTTTGAGATTCAGAAGAAGATTATGGAACTTTCAGTTTCTGATGATTGACTTAATGTTTGATACACATGCCTACCTGTTCCCCTATGCCATCTGTTTCTAGAATGACTCTTTTTAATGACAACTGCACTGAACAATACTGTACAGAAACTTATGATTAGACAAATGTTTTTTTTTTTTAAATTAATACTATACAGCTATATGAATTTATATGCAACATATTTTAAGGTTGATACAGAGTTTACAATTCATCCTAATAAAAATCCTTAACGCTTACATATATTTTTTCTTCTCTTTATTATTATAATAATTTGATCAATATTTAAAATTTTATTCATTTTTTTCAGGAATTAAGGAAAAGGTTACGATATCTTGGACACTTACCTTTGACATGTGAATTTGAAGTAGCTGAATTAACATTAAAACCTCCTGTGTTGTCAAAAGAGACACTTAAATATTTTACTGGTATGTACTGTGGTCTTCCATTGCAGCAATTTACAAGGTTCTCAAATGTATTTAAAATGGGCAACTCAAAAAACACATTCAAAATCTTATGGATTTTTCCAGGGACAAGACTTAATCGATTGCAAATCTCATGTCCTAATATTAAAAAAAGGAAGAGATGTTGTATGATTGCCAATGAGACAACTATCCACCAGAGTTAAAATGGAGCAATTATAGGCCACCATACAGCCTTCAACACTGAGAAAACCCTATACAGTATAGTACATTAACAGCCTAATTTTTAACAAAACAAAATACTAAAAACATATTTTGAAAACAGTAGAATGTTACATTTTAAAAATCGTACCTTTTTTCTCCAATTATCATTGATTATCTTTTGAAAGCATAAATATTTGCAAATGCTGTGCAAATGTATGCATATAATGTCAACAAAAAGCAGTTGACATGTTGTTCACAGCTTAATTTTACAGGAGTAGTCATTGTAAGTGTCAGCACTCAGTCATTGTTTTCAGAAATTATTTTTTTAATATAGTATTTTTTCCCAAAATCTTACCTTTAACAAGGTAAAAAAATTTCAAAATTTTAAAATTGCAAAAATACAGACCATAAAAATGGCAAAAAAAATATTTTGATATGGCATGCAGATGAATATTTTTAACAAAAGCAGAGCTATGTCTTCATGGTAAAGAAAAAGAAAGAAAAAAAGATATGGAGGTTAAACTTTTGATTTGGTTACTTTCAGATGAAATTGAGAAGAGAAGACGTCTGCGTCAAAAGAAAAGCAGGGAAGAGAAAAGATGGACTAGGAAAGTACAAGATGAGGAAAACAAAAAGATGGCTAAATACAATATCTATGGTAATTAAATTGTAGAATTATGATTATTTTTCTTTATCTATTTCGAAAAGGTAAGAATAACCGCCACAGACTCACTTTCAATATATATGATATATTCAATAATTGTTGAATAAAAATGAATGATATTTAGCAAAAACTTCAAGTTTGTAAAAAAAGAAGCAACAAAAGTTTACCTATGTTCAAAACAAATAATACATTTTGAATATGCAAACCCAGAGAAAAAACCTGAAGGAATCAAATGAATGCATGAACCAGAGTATTGTCAAGAAAATCGTTTCCTGATGTGAATGCATTACCATGGTAAAAACAGTCAATTTAGTAGACATTTAACAGTTTAATATTCAGTCACTTATTTCATTTCATTGTTATGTAAAATTAACAAAATGGGAATTTTAATTACAGGAACTGATTCCAGAATTGTACAGAGCCAGTTCATGCCAACAGCGATGTCAATAAATAGACCAAGCTCACCTGCTGCCAAGAGTGATGATAGTTCATACAGTATGTCATCCATAAACACCCCAGTAGGATCACCACTAGGTAAGTTACTGTTTCTTAGGCTTAAGAAGGAGGTATGATAGGGGTAAGGACCTGCATGTTCATTCACCTTAGCTTTCATTGTATATCTATACAGGATATTTGAATGGATAAGGATCTGCACATTTTTAGCTCCCCTGAATTCTGATGTCCATTGACTTTTACAATAACCTTTTCCTTTTAAACCACTGGACCAAAAGAAATAAAACTTGGCCACAATCATATTGGGGTATCTAGTTAAAAAAATTTGTGTCAGATGATACCACCTGCTAACCAACCTGGCCAACCATGGCTAGAGATCAACTGTATTCAGAAAATGATCAGCAATATAAGATCAACTAAAAAGAGATTTTAGTCATGAATTAAATTCTGGTTCACAATTTTTTCGAGAGTGGCATCGATGAAGATGCACATAGATTAAGGTGAGAGACCCAGGCTCTTTCTAGCCTCTAATTTACTCAGTCCTTTACTTGTGTCTCCTGTCATGTTGAGTATTTTGTAAGACTGTGTGACACAAAGTAATCATATATATATATGTATGTATATTTAGAAGTTAATGTTCCTTATTTCAGTTGATCCTGCTGTTGAAGAGGACCTTGATGGACTTCAAACATCAAACTTTTCATTTGCTCAGGTAAATGTTTTATTTACAAATTATTTTTATTCCCCCGCCGTAGCGGAGGGGGCATTAAGTTTTACCCTTGTCCGTCTGTACGTACGTCCCAAAATTGGTGTCAGTTCTCTAACTTTAGTTTGCCTCAACCAAATGTTATGAAACTTATACACAATGCTTATTGCCATAAAACACAGATCAAGTTTGAATTTTGGTGGCGTCATTTATACCGTTCTAGAGTTATGCCCCTTTACAAATGGAAAAATTGCTGAATTTTTCGTTTTCGTTCTCTTATTTTAGTTTGCCTCAACCAAATGTTATGAAACTTATACACAATGCTTATTACCACAAAACACAGATCACATTTGAATTTTGGTGGCGTCACTTTAACCGTTCTAGAGTTATGCCTCTTTATAAATGGAAAAATTGCAAAATTTTTATATTCTCCAAATATCAAGTAATTTTTATTAAAATTTGAGTTATCTTCCTTTGTCCATGATTATAATTGAATCAACTACATTCAATGCTTTATACAATGCAATGTTTAATTTTGACTTCCACTGATAAAACACAGATCAAGTTGAATTTGGGTAGTGTCACTTTAACCATTATTGAGTAATGCCCCTTTATAACTCGAAAGATTGCAAAATTTTTAGTTTCCATTCTGTAACTTAAGTTTGCCCCAACCAAACAATATGAAACCTATACACAATATTCATTACCACAAAACTAAGATCAAGTACAAATTTTTTGTTTCCGTTTTCTAACTTTAGTGCCTCAACCAAATGATATGAAACTTATACACAATGCTTATTACTACATAATACAGATTAAGTACGAAATTTGGTGGCAACACTTTTACCATTCTTGAGTTGTGTCCCTTTATAAACATAAAAATTGCTGAATTTTTCATTTCTGTTCTCTAACTTTAGTTTGTCTCAACCAAATGTTATAAAACTTGTACACAACCGTTCTAGAGTAATGCGTGTTTACAAATAGAAAAATTGCTGAATTTTAAGTTTCTGTTCTCTACTTAAGTTAGCCTCAACCAAATGTTATGAGACTTACACACAATGCTTATTCCCACAAAACTCAGATCAAGTTCAAATTTGGGTAGCGTCACTTTTACCGTTCTTCAGTTATGTCCCTTTATAACTATATGATATGCAAGCGGGGGCATCATCTGTGTCCACATGTGGACACTATCCACATTTATTTTAAAAAAATCTATACTTCAAAATAACAAAATGATTTAGGGAAAAGCTTTTTCATTGCAGTGCTTCATCTTGGTAGTTGCTTAAAGGATGGGCAATACAAAGGCATCAGACATTAAAAAATTTGAAGTGAGACTTGAAATTAGGGTTCTATACTAAGCTTATTGTATGGTTAAAAATTATGACAATCTTAATCAATATAGAATGAGAATATGTGGTATGATTGAAAATGAGACAACATTCAAACAGAGACATAGTTAAGTGGATGTAACCAACTAAAGGTCAACTTAAGGCCTTCAACAATGAGTAAAACTCATACTGTATAGTAAATTAAAAAAAAGCTCCTACATTTTACATGACTAAATGTAAAACAATTGAATTGAAAACTATGATAAAACAATAAACCAAAAGATGAATGATAAAACATGTTTGCCCTCCCCCTAACCTTGGACAGTGTAGTAACAGCATTATGTATTAAGAAGAAACTGTTGAAATCAATAGGAAAGGGATTAACTTGTTAGATTAGCACAAAACAAAACAATCAACTGACAAAAGATGCAGTACTGATAACTTTTTTTTACATATTTTTTTTCTGTCAAGATTTCATTTATACTCAACTCAAAACGTTTTGCAGATGCTTAAAGCTGGCCAGTCTAAGACACCTACTTGGCCTATGGCTAAAACTAAATCAGAGGCACCCAGCAGTGTGTCTAGATCTAAGGACAGTGATGATAGTGATAATGAAGACAAGGTCCCAATCCCTATGTTCAGGGAATCATTTGGTGATGCCATACAAACAGCTTTAGATACACACATGGCAAAATCAAAAGGTAAATTTATTTTAAGTTGGTATTTATTTACATGTGTGTGAGGAATATTAAATTCAACACAGCCTACACAATATTGATATGTCAAAATAGTGAGTGAATACGCGATAAATCAACAACCAAAATATTTCTTGATTCCTGGCAGTTTAATAACTTGACGTATTGAAACAACATTTGTCTATTGAAGAAAACTGTCTCTTCTGGGGTTTTTATGCCCCCGCAACTGAAAGTTGGGGCATATTGTTTTTATCCCTGTCTGTCTGTCTGTCCGTCTTTCAGTCCGTCCCATTATGGGTATATAGTTATTCCGCATAACTCCTCCTACAGTTTGAATGCTAGGAAGTTTTCACTTTGCTGGCTGTTTGTACATATATTGAAGGTGTGCATGTGGTCAGGGTTTTGATTTTTATTAATATTTGCTCTTTTGGGAGAAAGTTGAACTTTGTCATTTTGGAGTATTTACTTGCATAAGAGGAGCTTTCCAGATAACTCCTCCTAGAGTTTGAATGCTAGGAAGTTTTCACTTTGCTGGCTGTTTGTACATATACTGAAAGTGTGCATGTGGTCAGGGTTTTGATTTTTATCAATATTTGCTCTTTTGGGAGATAGTTGAACTTTGTCATTTTTGCTGTATAAGCGGTTAAATGTAATAGTTATTTTGAAATAACACTTTGCATCTGAGGGGGCATCAATTGTGTCTCCCAGACACAATAATATATCAAAGAAAGTCCTACATTTACTTTGTTATAATACAGTTACTTCAAAATGAAGTGCAGGGGCATCACTTTGTCTAGTTTGTGTAAGATTCATTGACTTTAAGCAACCAATAATCAATCAATCATGAATTGTGGACGTTGGAACTTACATTATCATGGTTATGTTTTTAAAAAGGACATTTATTACAATGCATTATACATGCACATAAGGTTAATCAGTAATCTATATCATAAATGACATAGCAATTACTGTGACTTGAATGAGGACTGAATGAGAAAAGGACTGTTCTGCAATTGATTGTGCAGTTGATGGGGGTGAGGTACTTAAAGTGTGTGGGTGGTTGCCTTTTATCAGAATTTAGTAACAATTATAATTTAAGAAAATTTTATATTATGAGTGGTTTGGGTCTTAAAAAAGTGCCTCCCATGAATTCATTCCCTCCCCTTTACCATGTTTCATGCTTTTAATTCTGGAAAACCCTAAGTAAAAATGTTTTTTTCTTTATGTTTATGCTTCATTTTCAAGTTTAAACAATAGACAAGTCACAGTACACTAGCATTAATCATTATTGATTTACAACAATGCGAGCATTTTTTCTTATTTCCAGATGAAGGCTTAACCGTAGAAACAACAGAAAAATCGGGTGGAAAGAAGAAAAAGAAACAACAGAAACTTCTCTTGTTTACAACATCCATGGCTCGTGGAGGGAAATAGGCACCTTTGGTCACTTCAGGATAATGTATAGTTTCACCATACAAAGAAGAAAAGACTTTCAATATTCATTAGAATCGTCATTAAAATATATTGTGCTTACATCAGTAATTTTACAGCTTATTGTCATATTTTTATGCTGACTGACCAGCTTGGACATTTAAGGCCTTATTATTCTATTTTTCTAAAGAAGAATACTTTTTAGTTTTGAAATGTCATACTTTTTTTGCTTTATTATTATTGTTTGAAAATGGTAAATCCATTCTGTTCATATTGTAATAGACTATTCATATTGGTTAAAATAATTGTCATGAGAGTTTATTGCAAAAATATGAAAAATAATAAGAGGAGTAAGGCAAAAAATTGAACATTGGGGGATTTTATTCAATACAATTGTGGTTGAACATATTACTGGGGATGTATGAAATTATTTTCCATTTTGAGGATTTTTCATTTGTCAAAACATCTAATATTTATTAGAAGCCCTGTTTAATTTAATGCAGTTAATATCATTGTCACTATGTCAAGTTTGACCATCTTACTATTAATTCCATCACTATATGAAAACATTGTTCCCTCACAAAACCTGTACTTAATGTTTTACATGGCAGTATTCAATTAAGGAAACAAATGATACTGGTAAGTATAAATGGATTTTTACTTCCATATACTTTTCTTACCCCACATAACAATATTACGAAAAGATGAGAGGATATCAAACATTTATTCTTTACTCATTTTCTTGATAAATTACAATAGCTTTATTTGATAAAAAGAAATAATTGAAACAATTGAAAAAATAGAAATAATCAGAAGTAACTTTAACAAAGAAATTTGCAATGAGTCCCCGTTATGGAATTCTATTCCCATACACAGTATTTGAAATTACTGTATTTGTGTTGCAGTGTATCTAAACATTATACTGAAGTGACTAATAATCATATTCTATTGCTTACATTTGTAGTTTTCATTGTGTACAGTCTGTGATTGGTGCATAATTAAGCAAAACATTAATTTTATACATTGTTATCAAATTAAAATAATCCATCATTGCATTATATATTGTCAATTGTTTATATGTGTTTAATATGAAATGGATATATGGTAATATAAAGCATAGTGTTTTTTTATTACCTTACCGTAGATACTCGCTTAATAGTCGATCCTACTATAAGTCGGGGTCCCTTTTCAGCTCCAAATTCTAAGGATTTAGTCTTGACCCTCGTATAAGTCGGACAAAATTTGGGCATTTTTTTTTCAGCTGACAGTAACTGAACGCCGGTAAAACCAATGCAAATCCAGGAATAATATTCATTTCTGCATTAATGTTTGTTTGGTTTGAATTTAGTTGATGCTCATCATGATAATTTATATTGCTGTTAATAATAAAGATGTATTCATTTCTCTTGTTTTGTTCACTGTTCAAATGTCAGATTAGCCATGTGTTGTTTACGTAATGCATCAATGATTTTGTAGGGTATGACTAACAACCTATTGTTTGAGAAAAGCGAATATAAACCAATATGAACCTGAAAAATTTAAAGTCAATCAACACTTGATGAAAATATTTTTCACAGCATACATAACTCGGTGTTAAATGAGCATGAACACTTCATAATTCTTATTATATTGTGATGATTAAAGGATTAAAAAAATTAAGTGAAGCTAATCAATATATTAAAATAACTAACTCCAACTCATTAGTGTCATCTGTTTACCTATCACTGATAGTTTTCACACCTTTAGTGAATACAACTCTTTGTCTCTTAATTGGGGTTATCAATGGATTATATTGGCTTGTCAATCAATTTTGTAATTTTTGTTTACCTGAGACACTATAATGAATAATATTTTGATTTTGGGAATGAATCTTAAAATTATTTTTTGATTATTATATGATTTATAAGCATTGAATTGATATCATGATATCACAATAATGACACAATAACTCCGCTGAAAAAATCCTTTCACATATTTGGTACATTGTTATCTCCTTTTCATTTTTGGTTCTTGGCTCTTCTTTTGGGTTTATAGGAAAACCATGTGACCATGAAAATCAATACACAAACCGGAAACGGTAGAATTTCAACACGAATTTGCAGAAAATGTTTACCAAAGAACAAATAAAACACAAAGACAGTATTGAAGTCATTTATTTTCAACAAAAACTTTTTATTTATTGATTTATGTAGGTTTGGCAATCAAAAACGTAGTTTTGACCAGGAAATTCACTCCTGACCACTTTTCTCAAGCTTGGATTTTTCCTCTGGTCGCTAGATCTCGTCTATTAGTCGCCCCCCCTCTCTGGATTGTGAATTTTACTCCCAATTTTCCGACTAATAAGCGAGTAGGAACGGTATATACATGTAAAATAATTAAAAGGACAAAAAATCTGATATCTGTGACTAATTTGATAACAGTCATGGAACTGGTTGTCATCTCAAAAATATAGGGGATGCAAAAATTGAGAGAAGAAAGCTTTGAGATACCCAATAATTTTTCTGCTCAATTGGATTTTGCTTATAATTTTAAAAAAGACGTTGAATTTAAGAGTCCTTTTAAATGTCTCTTCAATGAATATTTCAAAGAATATTGAAGTTGGTTTGTTCATAGACCTGCTGCAGGATCTCTTTGGTCTTATTTGGTTGGGGGGAAAGGGTAAGCATTAAGATTTATTTGAAACAGCATGATAAACTCTAGCATGTTCAATAAGATTGAATTGTAAATTTACAACTTTTTATACAACTGCCAAATTGGGTGTAGTTTGTATATTTGGAAAAGTCTAGTTTCACTGTGCATATGCTGCCAAGTTGGGTGCAGCAGTAAAGCATAGTGAAATCATTTACTATTTCTATCTTAATTAGTATTTTATTACCTTTAAGAGAACTTTATTAAATTTTTTGGAAATACATGTTATGACTTGCATTTAGGAGAAGTATTTTTGGCAAATATAAAATTATTTATTTTTATAATTACATATATAAAAACAAGAAAGAGATTGACAGATGAATTAACAAATTATTTTACTTATAAATTGGAAAGATGTCGATGTTAACATGGACATGATGATAAACACAAAATGATTGCTTGCAAAAATGTAAGATAAGTATCACAGTTTGAAATGAATGAAAAGTTTCTTCTGTAAATTTGGACTGAACTATCAATTCCAAAACTGATTATTAATTTATACACTTTACAAAATTAGAAGTCAACTATAGAATGGCATTGAACATTCTTTCATCAATATTATTAGAAGATATTGAACTAAATATCTGGAGTAGCAATAATGTGTATCTGAATTGTGAAGCAATGTTATTTTGTATATTTGTAAGCATTGTTTGGTTATTTATTGGCATGGTATTGCCTTTAATATTTGTTTTGTTATTCCATGGCCTACCTGAATATTAAAAGTTTGAGCTTATGATTTGTTTTCTTTATTTGATATTTCAGACACAAGAATTTATACTATTGTAGATTTAGGTAAATACATGTATCCCATTAGATTAAAGCAATATTTCTGTGAAGAACCTATCAAACAGTTTACCTGTTATTTTCTCTTTTAAATGCAGGTTTTAGACCGGCTGTACTATGGTATACCTTAGTCTGTCCTTCTGTCTGTATGACAACACTTCATACCATAACTAAAATTGCTGTAACCAATTCTCATGAAATTTTAACACTGCATTAAGATTGTTTGAAGAAAGCATTCTTTCTATTTTGACATTTTCCAATTTTGTTCGTTACAGAGTTGTAGGACTTTATTCATAGAAAAAATGACATTGTCTCAAATGTTGTAAAATAACTCAACTTTGGTGTAATGCCATTTACTGAAAATTTATCATAGGATTAGAATTGATCAAAGTAAGATCCTTCCAATTTTCATGATTATCACTTTTGTAAATCGTGAGTTATGGGACTTGTCCATGAATCCAACATTTTTCACTTATCACAATATTCAGTATGCTTTGATTGATTTCCTCAAAACCTTGCACTGTTGTTGAGATTGATAAAAAGAAGCAACCTTTTGATTGTAAAAAAATCTGGTTTGTCCATTGGACAAAATCTGGAACTCAGATTTAAGTAAATTTTTATACGACCGCAAATTTTTTTTACCAAATGATATAGAAGTTAACTACAGGTCTCTGTATGGCCTTCAACAATGACCAAAACACAAACAGCATAGTAAACTATAAAGTGACAATTGTAAAACAATTCCAAGTTCAGATTGAGGAATATTTATTTCTTAATGAACATTTACAAATAGTTTTATACATATTTAAGCCTCAGCATGATTTTATGTATTGTTTTCTATCCTGATGACGGTGGCCTAGCCACCGAAACATGTCGATCTCAATAAATTGCTGGAGCATTCCTTAAAGTGTTGTTGTTACTGGACCTTCTACATTTTATGTTTTTATCGTAACGACCCTGCATACCTGAGGTATCCACTTTATGGAATCTACTGACAGAAGATTTACCAGGCGTTGGTTCACTTGTGTTTTAATTTAATATTTAAGCTAAGAATAAGTTACAAATATGTCATTTAGAAATAAACAGAGAGAAGTAATGTAGCTTTGACAGCTTCTGGAAAACAAGGGCCTATAGTATAACAGGTGACTCATAAGATGTTGCTCAGGTTCTGTAACATTAAAAGAATAACAATATGTTTGATTGATGGATAATATAACTTTCTTTCAATGAATTGATCTGATATAAATATGACCTGCTTTCACTGAGTGGAATTGTTAACTTGCAGCTCACAAATTGATCGTCCAAAGGAAAACGTGCCACCTCATCAATACATTCTAAACTATGAGCAGACATGTCCCCATTCTTAATCTTATTAAAATAATTTATGGAAACCGTCAAATACCAAATTTTAAAGAATTTAGTTAGTAGATATAAGAAGATGTGGTATGAGTGCCAATCAGACAACTCTCCATCCAAATCACAATTTGTACAAGTAAACCATCATAGGTCAAAGTAATATATAATATTTATAAGGTCCTTCAACAGATTTGAACACACTACGTCTATTCAGGACCAATGAGATGGAAAAATAAACCTGCTTTGGTAGTAGACTGACACGCATCTGTTTTTTGTTAAGTTAAGACACATTCTGACTCCGATAGTCAGATAGTAGATAAAAATTGAAATCCGCTGTTCTGAGGACCAACTTCTCTCCCACGATGTAGAGGATGGTTAACATGTATATGATAATATGATCCTTTAACTAGATCTTTTTATACGACCGCAAAAAAATTTTGTGGTCGTATATTGGTATGACGTTGGCGTCGTCGTCCGAAGACACATTGGTTTTTGCACTCTAACTTTAGTTTAAGTGAATGGATCTCTATGAAATTTAACCATAAGGTTCAATACCACAAAAGGAAGGTGGGGATTGATTTTGGGGTTTATGGGACCAACAGTTTAGGAATTAGGGGCCAAAAAGGGGCCAAAAATAAGCATTTTTGTAACTTCCAGACATAACTTGTGTGTTAGTGTATGGATCTCTCCTACATTGTACCACAAGGTTCCATATCACAAAGGGAAGGCTGGGATTGATTTTGGGGGTAATTGCCTCCAAATTTTAGGAATTAGGGGCAAAAAAGGGGCAAAAAACAAGCATTTTTCTAGTTTCATGACAATAACTTGTGTGTAAGTGTATGGATCTTTATGAAATTGTACTACAAGGTTCCATATCACAAAGGGAAAGCTGGAATTTATTTTGGGGGTAATTGCCCACAACGTTTAGGAATCGGGGGCCAAAAATATGCATTTTTCTAGTTTCCAGACAATAACTTGTGTTCAAGTGTATGGATCTCTCTGAAATTGTACTGCAAGGTACCATACCACAAAGGGAAGGCTGGGATTGATTTTGGGGGTAATTCCCTAGAAATCTGAGGAATTAGGGGCCATAAAGGGGCAAAAAAACAAGCATTTTTCTAGTTTCAGGACAATAACTTGTGTGTAAGTGTATGGATCTTTATGAAATTGTACTGCAAGGTTCCATATCACAAAGGGAAAGCTGGGTTTGAGTTTGGGGTAATTGCCATATATGTTTAGGAATTTGGGGCCAACAAGGGACCAAAAAACAAGCATTTTTCTAGTTTCCAGACAATATTTTGTGTTCAAGTGTTTGGATCTCTCTGAAATTGTACATGTGAACCTCCCGACGGGAGTACAATAATCCTGTTTTCAGGGGTCTCCTCCCGACAAAAAAATCCCGTGTATGAAATATTTCATGAATGAAAAATTTCAGCCCAACATATCTGGTGTAACTGACATAACCTGAAGTTATATTTTACCTGTAAATCAATGAACATGCATAATTATATGGCTTCACTTGTCACCTTGGGTGTCAAACATACTGGTAATCAACGATTTTTACCTCAGGCTAACTGCCGTTGTGTAATAAAACTTTGTGTAGTTAAAATGAATGTTGGGTTACTTCCCTTGATTTATCCTGTTTTAAGTTACTTTCCTTTAAATAATGTAAATTTTTAAAAGAATATAAATAAAATATAAATTATACAAATAATCATAAAAGGATGGTAATTAAATGATTTTAAATGTCTTAGGACAAATAAAAAAATAATAATTTGAAAATTATTTGAGGGTTCTATACTTCCTTTCAAGGCTTAAATTGAAATTTATATAATAACTATGACCCATGAATATAGTTTGAATGTATTACTTATCAAGCATTATAAAGATAAAAAAAAAAAATAAAGATAAAAAAAAAATTAATCTACTTGCATAAAGATAAAACAAAAGATCTACTTGCAGATAGATAAGCAATTGTTTTGATTGCAATGAATAATGGTAAAACAGATATGACCTAAAAAATTTAAAGAACATACTAAAAAAGAAGAATGTTAGATTGAACAAGTTGAAAGTTTAAAAAGATAGAGAAAATATATACGTACAAGGGTACTATAAACATAATACATTCGGATGGAAAGTTGAAGAAAACACACTTTAACAGACAATTTCTACAGCACACGGTTACATTTACGACAGAATTTATGTCGATTAAAAACCTCCTGATCTGAGTCCTAATCTCCTGACCAAAATTTCCCAAACTCCTGATCTTAGTTTCACAGTCCATCACATGTATGCAAGTTGAAGGTACCATACCACAAAGGGAAGGCTGGGATTGAGTTTGGGGGTGATGAATCATAAGGGGGTTCAAAAAATTTGGGGGGGGGGGGATTTTTTTTTCATTTTTTTTCTTTAAAATTTTCCATTTTAAATTGGTTATTTCTGATTAATATATAAAAGCAAATAATAATGATATGGTTTGAATAGATAAATTAAAATTTTTTAAGTTCTTAGACCACATTCATTCTGTGTCAGAAACCTATGATGTGTCAAATATTGAATTACAATCCAAATTCAGTGCTGTATCAAGCTTGAATGTTGTGTCCATACTTGCCCCAACTGTTCAGGGTTCGACCTCTGCGGTCGTATCAAGCTGCGCCCCAGCGGAGCATTTTATTTAACGTTTCCAAGAGAATACACATTATTCCAAACTTCCAGTTTCAGGCACCTTAAAAATGAGTTACCGTGGCCAATATCGAATTGAGCTTACACTAAAATGGACTAAATACAAATGGTTTCAATCAAGAATTGCAGGTAATTGCAACTAAAATTTTTAGTATCTTTATTTTAACAAAATCAATTTCTATATCAGATTGTAGTTGTAGTAAAACGTCTTTGGTATTAGGAATAAATAGATATGAAATACTTTAAATAAGTGAGAAAAAGAACTGAGAAATTAGAAAACAGTTGACATTAAGATCGTGAAATATTGATATAAAAATCATACTATCTACTGCAGTCCTAGTTCCTGGTAATTTGCAGAACAAGTGTTATATTATGTCATATGTTCTTTGAAGAATTTGATGTTGATGGCAGATTTTTGTATATCATTTCTATACATTAATTGGTGCATGGCAAGGTTCCGGTGCAAAAATTAGTTGGCATGCATTTTGTAGCTGGACACACGGACACAATCATTATGATAAATTATAAATATTAATACTCAAATAATTCAGTTTAAAGGCTTAATCTTATACAATTGATCGCCTTTTTAATGTAAAATGCCACAAATGTAAATTTTATATAGACACACTTATCTAGTAGGCAGTGGCTATTTTGCCGGCTCTATTGAAATTTTGATATCTACTTTAAGGTGGCTGGGCCCTTTAACGTGTTTTTTTAATTCTTAATAATCCATGGAAATAGCATTGTGTCCACTTGTGTTCACTATTTATATATAAATGTAAAGTTGTATCTAGATTTGAACTCATTTGTTTACCCCATAAATATACGTGTCCGTGTATCCCCGGACACAAAATGCTATAGTTTACTATATTTTACACCGAAAATGGGACACATCTATTTCTGTTTAATGTATTCATAATATTTTAGACTCGACCTAGACCTTAAAAAAATGTATAGTAATCTTACTATTGGTGCAGACTTGCATTGCATTCTACATGTTCTAGATGTTTTAGGTTTTTTTATGTCGTTGGTTCGCTGTATCATTGACGTTTAGCCACATCGCCTTTTGGTCATTTACATTTTATCCTTATACCTTTGTTTTAAAAATGGCCAGAATATAGTCCAGTTCGTCTCTGATTCAAAGCTTTTTGTCTCCACGTATGCAAGACAAAAGAATGCTATTCCGGCGACTCCGTAAACTATTTGTGCAAAGCTTTATATTTTAGAAGGATGATGACCTAGATTCTTCACACCTGGTAGATACTACTACAGGTGTTTTTCGTTCTGAAGTTCTGCAACTCCAAAAATCCTGTTGTTCCTTGTGATTATATCTATAGAGATCTATAGACACATTTATTATCACAAACGCAATTATAACAATCGGTAAAGGCTCAATACAAAGTACATTGTATAAAAAATACATAAAATATAATGGCTGGTAACTTTTGATTTCGATAGTTTGTATACAAGTTATTATATGAACCATGTTAACTGCATGTTATGTAATCAATATGTTTGTAATACACCATTTCTATTTATAGACTAGACTAGTAAGAAATATAAGAAGAACACATCTTTAGTATCTGTAAACATGGTAAAAACCCACTCAGTCTGTTAGATAATAGTTTTGATGTAAAACTATCATTGTTGATGATTTTAAGATATAAATAAATTTTAGATATTCTTGTTTTAAGGGTTTCTCTTTCCCTTCGACAATGCCACATGAAGTGGTTTTTGTCTTCAGTTTTGTTTTGCATACATAGTTTACAAAATCTTTCCTTTCTCGCGGCTGGCGAGACATATGTATATTGCTTTTCCGGCGGGGATGGCGTCAATAATTGTTAAGCTTTCTACTTAAGTTAGTTTGAAAGGAACTACTTTTGATAGATCAATGATTTTTTTCTACAAAGTTTCATTATTATGTGTACAATGTACATATCAGTTTGACTCTTATTTAGAGGCCCTGCTTCTAGGTCAGTCCAGTGACTAATTTGAAGTAATCAACAATTTTCAAAGTTAAGTTTTCTGCTTAAGTTAGTTTGATACGTTTCTATAAAGTTGCATTACTATCAGTATATATCAGTTTGATGACTATTTCGATCCCTTGCCCCTGTAGGTCATGGTCCAATGTCTTCCAATTAACTTGCAATTTTCAATGTTAAGTTTTCTGCTTATTAAGTTAGTTTGAAAGAAACTTATAAATAACTTCTGATAGACAATGAATCAGATATTTTCTATAAAGCTGCATTACTATCACTACATCTATGTTTGTCAACCATCTCGATGCCCTGCCCCTCTAGGTCATGGTCCAGTAACATTCGATTAATTAGCAATGTCGCAGTGTCATTCAGATTGTCTTTTTGTGAATTTTCTGCCGACAAGCGAGACATATCTCTGTGTCAAGAGTTTATTATTATATCTCCTTCTTTCGAATTCGGGGTTATTAGCGCCTAGTCTCATTTTTGCTTTAATAGATACTGTAGGGGATGTTTAACGACCTTGACCAGGGGCGGATCCAGCCATTTATAAAAGGGGGGGGGGGGGTTCCAACTATATGTCCCCATTCAAATGCATTGATCGTTCCAACCCCCGGAACCCCACCCCCCTTGGTTCCGCCACTGTTGACCACCCATGAGGGTCTCGCACGTTCGGTACTAATAGATCCATCAGATTCATAAGTTGATCGGCATACGGTTTACGTTCCCCGATCATCAAAATGTTACGAAAAAAATCTAGTTTTTCAAAATAAAAAGTCTCTTCCTAAATGAAGGTATATACATATTTGCCTCTGGAATGGGTCCCTTTTTTGATACGTCAAATATATCAATGGGGTGCAATTTTACCGAGGAAATATATCAATCGGTAGTAATTGACCAATTGTGATATATTTAGGTACTATTTGAGCTGATTAATATATGAATGGGTTATGATTTCGCTGTGAAATATATGTATAGGTAGGGATTTCACAATTATTCAATATATGAATGGGGGGTATTTTTTAAATCTACCCAAAATCCCATGTTGAGACCCCCCCCCCCCCCCCCCCCTATCCTTGGTCTCTTGCTCTTTGGGAAGGCGTCACTTTAGTCTTTAGGGCCATGAATGGGCAGTCATCTGAGATGGGATGAGACAAAACAACTTGGACATGTTCACTTATAACATAACTGAAAAATAAAATATAAATCATAATATTAAAAAGAAACTTTAAGTTTATATCATTAAAAAATTATAATATTTTTTTTATCATGGTTATGAATTAAAACTTCATGATTAGCAATATAATTGAATTACTTTTCAATTGTATCATCACTGAGTCCACACATATATTTTAAAGATCAAAAATTTTAACCAAAATAATCTGTACTATATCTTTTATTAACTTTCATTCACTTGTCACGGAATAGAAGTTCCTTCATAATATAAGTTCCAAATAGAAACAATATTCTGGAATATGATTATTTCCACTGGAATAAATATTACAAAAAATGTTCCTAACGGAATAAATGGTATAGAATACCTGTTCCAACAGGAACAGATATTATGACATTGTTTATAACAAAGTTTCCAGTGGAACTTCTGTTAGGCGGAACAAATATACGTTGACACACTGATGGGCGTAAAGGGGGGTATCTGCACGGAAGAACGTGAAATAAAATTTGCCATTTCATGATGAACGAACAATTAAAAATTTCTTTTTACCGATTTCACGAAACACGGTGAATAACGAACCTTTTTCACGGCTGCACGTGAAATAAAAATGGCAAAACACGTTGCACGAAAATAACCCTTTACCACCCTCTTCACTGGTGATCGATATCGTATGCACAAAATCAAAAAGTTTTTAGTCCAACTGTTTTGAAATAAGCTTTTTCAATATTGAAATTGCTTCATCAAAATTATTGGAATATTTATCATTATCCCAGTCCTCAAGTCCCAGTCGATGCTAAAATCTTTTGAATAGATAATAATGAATTAATAGTCTCATTCCCCTTACCAATGTTATCCCTTGTTTACAAAATAAACGAACAGCACATGGCAAGGGCGATGCAGATGTCACATTTAAATAAGCATTTACTACACTCGTAAGGTTAATCAGCTAAACTGGTAAATGACTCTGTATTAATCAGGAATTGTCACAGACACTTGTCTCTGATGACTTCCAGATGCGGATCAAGGATTTTGAAAAAGGGGGTGCGGGGCAAAAATAACGTTTGGAGTAGGACTAGTCCAAATAATTATGACGTCTTGGAAGGCTATTTTAAATAAGGCGTCAAAGAAAAAAATATAATAGCCTTTCAAGACGTCCTAATTATTTGGACTAGTCTAAGAGTGGCAGGCACATGTAAAAAGGTAGTCCAAATAATTATGACGTCTTGCAAGGCTATTTTAATTTTTTTCTGGGACGCCTTTCTTGCAAGGCTATTTTAATTTAAAAAAAAATTAAAATAGCCTTGCAAGACGTCATAATTATTTGGACTAGTAAAAAGGGTATCGGGTCCTTTCGCCCTAATTACATGTTCGCCCTGGGTCCGTTCGCCCTGAGTCCGTTCGCCCTGGGTCCATTCGCTCTAATTTAAAAAAAAAATATTAATATTTATGGTATAATTTAAGGTTTATAATCTTATCATGCTTATTCAGATATTTAAATGGTAAATATTAAAAAAATATATATCTCTCCAAATTCATGAATAAACATGGCAATTAATAAAAAAAAAATGGTTTTTGTTTTGGAGCATTAATCAGGCTAATTGGCTTCATTGTTACAATTGTTTTTATTCAGAATTACTTTTAATGACTGTTGATTATAGATAAACTCATTATAGATACCAGGATTGAAATTTTGTACACCAGACATACGTTTCGTCTACAAAAGACTCATCAGTGACGCTCGAATCAAAATGGTTAAATAAAGTACGAAGTTGAAGAGCATTGAGGACCTAAAATTCCTAAAAGTTTTGCCAAAGGTAAGCTAAGGTAATCTATTCCTGAGGTGGAAAAGGCTTAGTATTCCAAAAATTCAAAGTTTTGTAATTTAGAATGCTGATTAGGTATGATTACGATGTCTTTGATCTCACTGATTGTTGTAGTTATTGTTTTTGATGGATTAATAATGAAATTGTTTTTTTTTTTAAATAAACAAGTCGGCTTGGAATGGGTTAAAACAATGATGTAAGAATTGTAAGACATTAAAGGGAAATTGTTTTCGCCGCTTGGCTTCTTTGATCTCAAGGTGTTGAGTGAGTTGGATCTTGTTACACCTGTTTGGATTGTTTTGAAATTGTTACAAGGTTTCAAAAAAGATAAATCCGTACAGATAACTTGGTTTCCAGTTTCTGAACACTTTTTCTTCTTCTTCAAAATACTGCCCACATTCAACATGATGAATATTCTGGCAAGAATATTTAATGCAAATCAAAAGAAAAATAATTATCTGGTAGCAGCAATACCGTGACAACATAAATATTCGGCGAAATTTTCAACAAACTTTAACATAACTAATTCAAATAATTTATACTATACAAGACAACAAAATAAAATAGAAATCAGGGCGAATGGACTCAGTGCGAACAGGAATTAGGGCGAACGGACCCAGGGCGAACAGGTATTAGGGCGAACGTGAATCAGGGCGAACGGACCCAGATTCTGTAAAAAGTCTATGCATTGACCATAAATGTAGCTCCATATCCACTTCTGACTTCAAGTCTTGTAATAATCTGATAATTGAAAACTAGAAGTAGATAAGTTGCAATGAGGGACCACAGGCACTTGTCTCTAAAAACAAATTACATAGTATATAGTAGTCCAAATAATTGTGACGTCTTGAAGGCTATTTTAATTTTTTTTCTGTGACGTCTTCCTGTGACAGAAAAAAATAGAATAGCCATTCAAGAAGTATAATTATTTGGACTAAGTATATAGGTAATGTTTTTTAGAGACAAGCTAGTGCCTATGTTTGGGACACTGAAAAACTGCAAGTTATTGTTAAATACTACTACAAATGTCAAGTCCCTTCAAATAAGTCACAGCAATGATCAAATGTCCAAGTAGCAGTTATATATATATATAGACTTCATGCAGTCAGTTTTGATATTATTCTCTGTAAAGTTTACTGTTATTTTTTTTTTCGTGGCCTTGAAGTTTTACAAATTTTATAAAAAAAAAAATGCCCGGTTGATGGAGCAAAAAAAGTTGAAAAGATATGAATCTGCAACTGTCAAATTCCAAGTCGATAGCAACTCATCAAATAGTGTACTATTATTCCATTTCTATGGCGTTAAAAGGAAATAATTTCTTTAAGCTAGCTTTTAATAATACAAAATTATGGGAAATGTTGGTAATTAATGTCATACAAAAAATTATCCTAGTATTCATTAATAGAACATATAGAACTGACATAATTTTGAAAGGCTTGATGCTGATCTACATGATGTATGGCTGTTAAACATCCAGCGCCAAATTAAGTGCATATTCAGGATGAGGACATGTTAATGTAAAATGAATATTAACCCTGCTTTTTACTAGTCTAAGACCAACATGCTGAGCCAGATTTTTAACATGCTAGTTCACAAGGTAACAGTCCGCTGGAAGACATACGTCACACTACCCAGACACATTATATTGATTCCGAGCTGACCAGTCTTGGCTCTTACTCATTTTAAATGCAGGAAGCAGCATTACACCAATTTTACCTGGCTTGGGTTCTAACTCACAACCTATCACACTCGTGAACAAGAGACCACCAAGGCTTGATAAATTTAATTTGCTTTGCAAGTTCAGGGCCAAACAATGACTCTAAATTATCATGCATCATACTCTTTTGAAAACACTCAATGACACTCACTGGAATTATAACCAGAAAACCTTTATTTCAAAAAATCTCATGATGTATTTTGCTTTTTAAACATTTTTATATATCTATATATACTGCAAAATCAAAAATTATTGTGTGCATTTATTATTGCAATTTTTAAAGAATGGACAGAATGTGAGATTGATTATTTCGATTTAGGGAAAAGCTGTGTACATGGTGTACAGATATATGAATTAGATATCAAAATATGAGTTCTTATTATTGCTATCCTCACCCAGTCGCATTATTTGATTCATATAAAATTGAAATGATTTCTGAATTTACCTTATACATGTATATAGGCTTTGATGAATGACTATTAGTTATTTTTTTTATTTAGATTTAGATCAAAGTACATCACTATGAGAAATCTGTTTAGTGTATCATGCTGTATTGTGTGCAGAAGAACATTCATTCCAAGTAGGATCCAGCAAAGGCAGGCAACCAGTAGTGTGAAAACAAATAATTACAAGTATGATTATCATGATTATAATGATATAATGAGAATACAGAACAAAAAAATAGGTTAAAAAATTTCACATGTTAAAAATATAAATCTCATTGACAAGACTTTCATGTAATGATTGAGAAAGTTTGCATATATATCTCTAAGTTTTTAGATCAGCCATTTAAAAGGTCTCAACCATTCCTATAGCTGCGGAACCGTACTGTCTCATAGGTCCTTATGATATTTATTGACAATTTGCGGTCTAGTCTGTCAAAAAATATCATTAGGACCTATGAGCTACGGTTTCACAGCTACCATTCCTAATGAAACTGTTATACTGAAAAATCAAAACCCCAAATATGAGTCAATAAGCAAATTACACAAAGTAAATGATATTTTTGTTCATTATTTACTATCATAACTATATGTAAAGGTTCGTCTTTTTTTTTGAGGAAATTATTCCAGTCTTAGATTTCCATTTTCAATTGTTTATATACATGCATGGAACTCTTATTAAGTATATTATGACGATGAGACCAGTATTGAGTTTGTCCTTATTGGTGTGCCAGATGACCACAAAGTGACAATAGAGAGGTTGAATAGATAACTTCCTCAGCCTTATTACAACTTGATAATGAGAATTATTGTAGATAGCTGTTGAAACATTTTTCTTATTTGTGAGACTAAGGTTAACAGTTCTCATTCACTCATTTTAACCTGATTTTTCTATAAAATTTAACATAAAGACCGTGCACATTTATTTCCTTGATAGAGGATTGCTGCTCACAAGGAAGCTATTAAGCCAAGAGTTCCAAATGGTGAAGTTGAAATCATCCCTTCGTAAATTTTACGTACGCCATCACGAGTTGGTTGACCGTTATGGAATAACCGTTTCACAGATGATATCGGATATGTTCCTTATGTCGTAACTACAATACCCTTCCCTTTTCACGAATGTGACTTACCGAATTAGACTATTTACCGGATTTGTAATAACATAAGCAACACGACGGGTGCCACATGTGGAGCAGGATCTGCTTACCCTTCCGGAGCACCTGAGATCACCCCCAGTTTTTGGTGGGGTTTGTGTTGCTTAGTCTTTAGTTTTCTATGTTGTATCATCTGTACTATTATTTGTCTGTTTGTCTTTTTATTTTTGGCCATGGCATTGTCAGTTTGTTTTCGATCTATGAGTTTGACTGTCCCTCTGGTATCTTTCGTCCCTCTTTTATTCTTCTTAAATGTTTAGTTTTTTTTTATTAGGAAGAAGAAAAGGTTACCGTTTCCTATTAAAGGAGAGATTATATTTGGGATACATCCAATAGAACTAGCACTGTCGGCAAGGAGAAGAAAGCTGTACACTTTGTTTGTAAAGAACACACCAGATCATGAGACAGGGAACCAGTCATTTATCAATGTATCACTCAGTGCTGAGGGTCTGGTGGAGAGGAAAGAATTTGTAAACAAACAGATGTTAGATAAGTTGTCAGAAGACAAGCCTCATCAGGTAATGGTTTAATTTTGATTTAGAAAATACATGCAATAAGTTTGCTGCAGCCATGAATTATATACAAAAACATATGTATTGATTTTGACCTTTTGTTTTTTTTCATGTGCTATTGTTCTGGCATTTTCATGGTTATTTTCTAACTCTAAATAACATACCTGACTATGATACTTTTAGTTTAATATCGTGGTGTAATCAGGGGTGTAAGGAAGTTTACACGGGTGTTGAAAATTCATACACCCTTCTGAAAAATTCCGTACACCCCTGATTACACCAAGATAATGAATTTATTTTTAATGATGTGTTCTTTAACTCATTATATTCCGGGGTGTAAACATGAAAATTTTATATGAAGAGCTCACAATAACTTCCACTACACATTTTTTTCAACAACGATGTTGCTGCGCATGGTCAAATTTCACTTATTTTAATTTTCTTTATTTTTTGGAATTTATGAAAAATTAATACTTTGGGAAATTTCAGATACAAAATCTTGCAGAATTTATTTTTTTTTTAAATTTGTTTTTAATCATTTTGCCAAAATTTTTGTTGTTGTAATCTTTGCATTTATTTTTTATTGGAATTTTTTGAAAAAAATGTATCCCCGGTGAACTGGGATGGGGTGTTATTTACACCCATGTAACCAATCTGATTGCAAGATTCTTGCTTCATGGTTGATACATGAAAAATGTGTTACATTAAATATTTACATGTATAAAAATGGTGGTAAAAGGTTATTTTTTTATGCCACAAAATTTCCAGTTTCAATTTCACATGTCTTGGTGCTGAAATGGTGTTTTGAATAGCACATTTAAAATTTTTGTTCATTGTGACTTCATTATTTCTGAACCAAGTCGACAATAACATAAAAGTGGTGTGGCGTAAAAATAACCCCATCAGAACTTGAGATAGATCTGTCTCCATTTGGTTTAAACACTTAAGATATTATTTGTTCATAATATGTCCATTGAACAAAAACCTAATTCTACTGATTTATTTAGCTTTTATTTCTGGTTTATTGTTTTTATAGAAATAGGAAGATTTGGTTTGATTGCTATTGAGACAATTAGAGACCAAAGAGACATGAATCAATTAAGGAAAAACAAAAATGACTGTTCACAGTATTATAATTGTGTAAATATCTTTTATTTTTCATATTTAAAGTGTATACGTTTTTGTTTTAGGGCATATGTTTAGATGCCAGTCCCCTTATAGTCCCAGAACTTGACTTCCAAAAGTATGTTAACAAGAGGTATGAATTACAATATTAATTTTGTGATATGAAGTTCTGTGGATCCATTTTATTTTGTGGCTACCTATATATTTTCATATATGAAGGAAAAATTGTATTTTCTTGACTATTTGATGGTTTTACAAAAGTCTGCAAACAAGCTTATAGAAATTTTTTATTTCATTGAACATTTAAATTTGTGATTGACATGTCCCCTGAAATCCACAAAAATGTATATCCCACAAATAATAATGAATCCACATTGTCACTTTTTTGTAAGGCTGAGAGAGGTATTAGACATACATTAGAGGCAAATTTATGAAGAATAAAAAACATTGTAGTCAAAGTTTCGAATAATTCATGTAATTAGGTATAAAGTACTTTAACATTGATATACAAATTATGATGTAATATAATTTTTATTTTGATTTTCAACCAATGAAAGCTCCAAAATGATTATTCAATCAGATACCGGGCACTAATTATTAGAATTAAGGAAATGGTGAAAGGCTTTTGTGTGTAACTTGTTTGCCATTTTATTTCACCTATTCTCATACTGAAAAACTGTTGGAAGCCTAGTATGAGATTGCTCTGATGTCTTACAGTCTTTTTTAAGGACTTGTTAGTGCTGTCAGACATCAGAGCAATCTCTAATAGGCCTGTAAGCCATAAAGATAAAGTGGAATTTTTCATCTTATTTTCTTTGCATTATAAAATCACAGGTTTATTAACCACACTCATTAAATAGTTATAGGATGAAGAAAATTTTGGTTCAACAACATGAATTATATGTTACAAGAAAACAATGTCAGAGCAAGAAAAAGTCTTTAAAACAACCATTTGAAACAATTTATGTCATAAAATTGTCGGGTAGATAGGCAACATCAAACAATTTAAATTTTATTTTTGGCCTTGGCAATGTAAAAGTTAACTAGAAAACATTTCTGTTATCTGAACAGTTTTTGCTCTTGCTCATAAATGTTTTGTGCGTACTAAATATTTACAGCCTTTGGTTTGACCAGAGCAGCTATTGAACTCTTGGCTTTCAGCATGTTCAGCACTAAAGGCCTTTTCATGAAACTACTTTTTTAATTCTATAAGTACTTCAAAGATTGATAAAAATATAAACCAACGTCATTAAACCTTCTTTGATTTTTTCAGGAAAGAAGATATGAATAGCAGTTTTCCTGTTTGGTTACTCCCCTATAGGGTAAAGGTATGTTGAAGACATCAAAATTTAAAAAAAGTTCTTTCTCTAGTTTTGTTGAGTATATTTCTTAGTTAGTGACTGATCCATAAACAAACATTTTTTCCAACATAGACTGTGTTCTTATCTCTTTCAGAAAGAATTTCAATTTTTTAGTTTTCATTCATAGTTTAAGAAAACCATTGGCAAAAATTAAAATGGGGGAAAATATAATTAAGTGGATACAGACACGCTGTCTAACTTAAAAACTGAAAGACTACAAAATATAAATTAATTTTGTTTTAGGATGTGCATAATCTAGGAGCAGTACTGAGGTCCTGTTATTTCCTTGGTGTGGAACATGTTGTCTTACCAACGGTACATACGTAAGCTTGTATTTATTTGTATTTTAATATATTTTATTTTTTGTGTTTAATAGATCATCTGGTCTAAAAGAACAGGTTAAGCCACTGTCATCACTGATATATCTGGTCTAAAAGAACAGGTTAAGCCACTGTCATCACTGATATATCTGGTCTAAAAGAACAGGTTAAGCCACTGTCATCACTGATATTGTAACTGTTTATTTAAATGTTTAAAGTTTCTGAAAGAATTGCTTGGTCTGTCAAAACTTAACATGATGACAATAATTCTTAGCATGTATAGTTTAATTTAAAAAATTGTAGCTATATGATGTTCTTTCTGACAAATCAATATAGCTTTCAGGCCAGTAGCCAGGATGTCTCTGAGAGGGGTTATTTGGGATAATGAAACTAAATAGTCAAACTCCTTTCTGAATGTCAATTTTCCTAGTCTTTACCCTTATATTTTGTTTTCAGGGGGTTCTTGCAAACCACAATAACCTTCACTGACTACGGAAGGGGGCCCATCATTTACAATGAATATGAATTATATTTTCATGGATACTTGATTTTGTAATTTTAAGAAATTCTTCATACTATGAATGAGATGTATTTGCAAGGCAAATTTTTATATTTTTGTGTGTTTATAGATGTTCTCTAACACCAATGGTCAGTAAAGCTAGTTCTGGTGCAATGGAAGTTATGAACATATCACAAGTTCAAAATGACGGATCCATAATAAAATTTATAAAGGTAAGTTTTTGTTAGGACTGTTCCAATTCAACATACATTGGACCCAGGAAAGGCACTTTCAAATATTAAAATTCACTTGCAATTTCCCTGTACTTGACACCAACCCATTGTTGAGATTTTACAGTGCCCTCCCTTGGTCCAATGTATCATTTTATGGAACAGTTCTTATTCTCAATTTTAATTTTACTTATATGAATACCTAATACCTGTAGTAATGATAAATTAAGAAATTTGTATATTTTTCAGTCAAAAACTTAAGGAAACCGATTTAGACAAAAGAACAGCACTTTTTTCCCAACTTTTTTTTACAGACACACATGTTATTTATTTTTAGCTCCTTTCTCTGTGCCAAGTGATATATTCTCATCACTTGGAGTTTGTCATTGCCCAGTGTTGTCATCCCTTGTTAAGAAACACTGGACAACTTTCAATCAAACTTATTCTGATTGATTCTTAGGGTATCTCACATAAAGTTATATGATTTTTGTTCCTGAAAATCAACCAACATGGCCACCATGGCTATAAGAAGAAGATTAGGATAAACACAACTTATTGTAAATTATCTGGAAAACCATAATAGATTGATTGAGCAAAAATATTAAGAATATCAAGATCTACCAACTTTCCATTTTCCCCAAAATTATCAATGAATCCCTATGTGAGTTATTGTCCTTAGATCAGAGTTTTGATCCTTAAATCACAATTTTTACCTATTTGTTGCATTGTTGAAAATGATAAATATAACAGATAAAGAGAAAATGTGAACAGTACAAATGATCTGCAAAGCTAGATCTACAAATTAGTCAACATAAGTGAAATCCTATTTTCAATTTTGTATTTAAAGCTTGATGTGTCACTCAGTATTATGTCTTTTTATATTTTATGTAGGAATGGAAAGATTTTGGGGGAAGAGTTATTGGAGCAAGTTTAGATGAGGAAAACATAAGCATACCTATAGAACAGTATCAAATCAGACAACCAACATTACTGATCATAGGTTTGTATTGCTATACAATAGTATCAGTGATAAAATTAAAAAACAATGTTAAATTTTTTAGATATTTTTATGCCATACATACTATAGAAGGGTGCATTTTGATTTCCAATCTATACCTGTGTGTCTGTCCATTCTTTCATTATATAGCAAGATCAAAGTTTTGTTCAAGGTAGTTTATCATTAAACTGTGGTCACATCTACTTTAGAATTAGTAAATATGTTCATTATGATCTTAAACTTAAAAAAATGCAGAAAGTGTGCATAGGACAAAGATGATGCCACCGAGGGACATAACTAGAGAACTATAAAGTGACACCACCCACGTTCAAACTTGATCTGTGTTTTATGGTAAAAGGCATATTGTATAAGTTTCATAAAATTTGGTTGAGGCAAACAGAAGTTACAGAACGGAAACTAATTTTAGATGATCGTACGGATGGATGGAGAAAGGGAACACTTAATGCTCCCGTGGTTGGGGTTAAAAAAGATACATGTATATGGCAAATTCAGATTTTTGTTCTGATTTCACTGTTCACTGAAAATGGAGATGAATTGGGCTTAAGTTCTATGTTTAAGGTAGTTTATTCTTAACTTTAAACTTAGTTCTTATATTCCTGATTAGTGGTTTTAAGTGCATGCAGTATGATGTGGACTTTTAAAAATATATGTCCAATTAGGGTTTAATCCAGATTATGCAGTTCACTGAATACGAAAATTCAATAGTATAAGCAGGGCATGATGTACCATATTTATTTAATTAATTACACATAACATATTTTAGTTCATTTTACATTCTTGTAATAAAGTGAATGATTATTATTTTTTCCATGAACTACTGGTATTTTGTTCTTGCTTTGTAGGGAGTGAAGAAAAAGGAATGAAGTTTAAAATATCTTCTTTGTGTGATGATCATGTATGTGTACATCCTGCTCACAATGTGCATCCTCTTGTGGACTCTTTAAATGTTTCCGTGGCTACAGGAATAATATTGCATCATTTGACCAAGAAGAATAAATTATGATGCTGGAAAATCTTTCTCAACCAAGCTGATTCAGGATTGAGTAGGTTTTTGCATTAAATTCATGTTCAATCTTCACTGGTAAACATTACAGAAGAACTTTCAAAATATGTTGTGATACAATGGTTTGGTATAACAGATTTCACTATGTATACAGTCAAGTCGGTTATTCTCTTTGAAAAAACATCAAAATTGCAGAATGAGATGAATGAATTTATTATTATCAAACAATGTCTAAATGTTGCAAATGATATTTGAATGTTTTTAATGTGATATTGCAAACTAAAGTAAATAAAATATGAAACATTTTTGAAATTGTTATAAAGAAATTCCATGTTAGGTGGAGAAATTGGCACCAGCAAATATATTTAACCCTGCCACATTCTGTATATTCCTGACCTAATTCAGGAGCCTGTAATTCAGTGGTTGTCATCTGTTGCTGTATATCATATTTGCTTTTTATACTTCGTATATTGGTATCACGTCGTCGTCGTTGTCCGCGTTGTCCGAAGACATTTGGTTTCTGGACAATAACTTTAGTATAAGTAAAAGAAATCTATGAAATTCAAACACAAGGTTTATAACCACGAAAGGAAGGTTGGGATTGGTTTTGGGGGTTATGGTCCCAACAGTTTAGGAATTAGGGGCCAAAAAGGTGCCCAAATAAGCATTTTTCTAGTTTCAAGACAATAACTTGTGGAACGCTGTATGGATCTCTCTGAAATTATACCACAAGTTTCCATACCACAAAGGGATGGTTAGGATTGGCTTTTAGGAGTTATGGCTCAAACCGTTTAGGAATTAGGGGCAAAAAAAGGGGAAAAACAAGGGTTTCCTGTTTAATGGACAATTACTTTAAAAGTACAATGTTGTGTTTGAATTACCTCCCTTACACTGCTTTTAAATTATGTATAAAGAAATGTTGTATTGTCTTGAGGTGATTAACTGTCAATTTATTTTTAGAACTTACTGTTTTAAAAATGGTGATTAAGGTATATTAATTTTAGCCATGATTATGCATGTCATTTTTTATTTTAAGACTTTTATGATGTATTCAAATGGGTAATTATGGTTGCAAACTCCATTGGAAATTTGAATTGAGATTATGACCATATCTTGAGGGAAAGAATTTGTTTTTTTTTTGGAAAAAGGGGGGGGGGGGGGGGGGGGGGGTGAAAAAAAAAATTTGGGGGAAGAGAGGGGACAAATTTTTTCTCAACATTTCAGAAATTAAATGTTGTACATAACTCAGGCAGTTCGTTTTCTCATTTGAATTGTTTTATATTTGTAATTTTTTAGCCTTTTTAAATAGCTTACTTTGTGGTATGAGGTTTGCTCATTGATGAATGCTGTACTATGACCTACAGTTGTTAACGTCTATGTCATTTGTTCTGTGGTGGAGAGTTGTCTAATTGGCAATCATACCACATCTAATTTTTGCAGTAGCCAATTTGCTTGTATGTCCATGTACAGAATAATATACTGTTGAAACATATGACCATATGTTGTTAAATGCAAAACAAAAGGTGTGCTTATGCATAGTTGGTGACAATGGTTGTATGAACTAGTTGTATAAAGCCTAACATTTTAGGACACAGAAGAGATAAACAACTCATATTTTTATAGATATATTATGCATTGTTGACTATATGGATCCCTGACCTCATTTTCATGGTTCAATGAGTTTTTTGCGATGTGAATTTATCTGAGTTACTAAAAGTAGTACAGTAACTGCAATTGATTTGAAAAATCATTAAAAGACCAGGGTTTTTCTTGTATTGATTAATAAGAAGTTGCTGATCAAAAGAACAACAAAATTCAACATATATAATCTTCAACAATAAACATATGTGTATACAATATGCCAAGCTATGAATTGTAATGTAATGTAAATATAATTATATTATGTTATTATATGTTTCACATAATGCACCATTGGTTGTCTGCTTTGTGATAATATTTATATTTAAAGTAGCAGTAATTGGTGTTATTGCAACCCATTAAAACTTTTTCGTCAGCGTAATATTACAAAGAGCAAAATCTGGAAATTATCGGAAAGTATGGTCTACATGTCAAGCTGCATAAGGTACAGTTTTCTTTAATTTATTTGTATTCTTATTTCTCAATTGAAAAAAAAGGATTCAGATATTCATTTATTGTTTTTCCTCTTTAGCTTATTAGCCATTTTAAAACTGAATTTAAAAACAATATGATATTTCCTAATTATTTAAATATTGATTCATCTTCTCTTAATTACACTGATGTACTAAATAAAGCAGAACTCACTATGGGCTAGTCACATTGACTGATCTAATGATAATGAGAGAAGAACTGTAAATCTTTTGGAAATAAAACAAAACTGTTTACAGTTCTTGACCTGCAAAATAGTATCAAGTACAATACAATATATTGCCATTACATGCAGATGGTTGATAGCTTTTATAGAATAATAGTAATGAAACTCCTATTCTAATGCATTGCATCAATACACAATATATGAAGCAAAACATGAGGTTATATACATTGTACATGGAAATTTTAATATTAAAAGTTATTTTAATGCTTGAATGACAATAAAATTTAGAAAAACAAGTGCCTGTGTTGTTATTTGATTTTACATTTGATTTTAAGCTCACTTGGCCCAAAGGGCCAATTGTGCTTTTGTCATCGCTTGGCGTCCTTTGTCTATCATTGTTCCTTAACTTTTACAGAAATCTTCTCCTCATGACCTACAGGACAAATTTTAATTTAATTTTTTGTAATGTTAATTTCTGTTTTATTATGAGTAATATGATAACTATATTTGGTATGTGCCTACCTTGCAAGGTCCTCATGCCTGTCAGACAGTTTTCACTTGACCTCGACCTCATTTCATGGATCAGTGAACAAGGTTAAGTTTTGGTGGTCAAGTCCATATCTCAGATAATATAAGCAATAGGTCTAGTGTATTCGGTGTATGGAGAAACTGTAAGGTGTACATGTCCAACTGGCAGGTGTCATCTGACCTTGACCTCATTTTCATGGTTCATTAGTTATAGTTAAGTTTTTGTGTTTTGGTCTGTTTTTCTTGTACTGTTTGCAATAGGTCTACTGTATTTGGTGTATGAAATGATTGTAAGGTGTCCATGTCTAGCTGGCAGGTGTCATCTGACCTTGATCCCATTTTCATGGTTCAGTGGTAAAAGTTACGTTTTTGAGTTTTTGTCTTATTTTATAATACTATATGCAATAGGTCAACTATATTTGGTGTATGGAAATATTTTATGATGTACATGTTAGTCTCTCAAGTTTTATTTGACCTTGACCTCATTTTCACGGTTCATTGCTCAGTGTTAAGTTTTGTGTTTTGGTCTGTTTTTGTTAAGCTACAAGCAATAGGTCAACTATATTTGTTGTATTGTAGGATTGTAAGCTGTACATGTCTGCTTGGCATGGTTCATCTGACCTTAACCTCATTTTTTAGCTCACTGGCGTCCGTCATCGTCTGTCGTCGTAAACTATTTCAAAAATCTTCTCTGAAATTACTGGGCCAAATACCTTCAAACTTTAACTAAATGTTCCTTAGGGTATCTAGTTTATAAATTGTATCCGAAGTTTTGATCCATCGACAAACATGGCCGCCATGGCTAAAAATAGAACATAGGGGTCAAATGCAGTTTTTGGCCTATATCTCAAAAACTAAAGCTTTTAGAGCAAATCAGACATTGTATAAAATTGTTAAATTGGTCAAGATCTATCAGCTCTGAAATTTTCAGACGAGTCGAACAACCCATTGTTGGGTTGCTGCCACCGAATTGGTAGTTTTAACAAAATTTTGCATTTTTTTGTTATTATTTTGAATATTATTATAGATATATATAAACTGTAAGCAGCAATAATGTTCAGCAAAGTAAGATCTACAAAAAAGTTAATATGACCAAAATTGTCAATTGACCCCTTAAGGAGTTATTGCCCTTTAAAAACAATTTTACACAATTTGTTCATCAAGTTTGCTTACATTTAAAAATCTTCTCCTCTGAAACTACTGGGCCAATTACCTTCAAACTTTAACTTAATGTTTCTTAGGGTAACTTGTTTATAAATTGTATCCAAAGTTTGTATCCATCAACAAACATGGCCGCCATGGCTAAAAATAGAACATAAGGGTCAAATGCAGTTTCTGGCTTATATCTCAAAAACTAAATCTTTTAGAGCAAATGTGACAGGGGTAAAATTGTTTAATTGGTCAAGATCTATCGGCCCTGAAATTTTCAGACGAATTGAACAATCCATTGTTGGGTTGTTGCCACCGAATTGGTAGTTTTAACAAAATTTTGCAGTTTTTTGTTATTATTTTGAATATTATTATAGATATATATAAACTATAAGCAGCAATTATGTTCAGCAAAGTAAGATCTACAAAAAAGTTAATATGACCAAAATTGTCAATTGACCCCTTAAGGAGTTATTGCCCTTTAAAGACAATTTTACACAATTTGTTCATCAAGTTTGCTAACATTTAAAAATCTTCTCCTCTGAAATACAGGTGAGCGATTCAGGCTCTTGAGAGCCTCTTGTTTGTTATTATTTTGAATATTATTATAGATATATATAAACTGTAAGCAGCAATAATGTTCAGCAAAGTAAGATCTACAAAAAAATAATATGACCATAATTGTCAATTGACCCCTTAAGGAGTTATTGCCCTTTAAAGACAATTTTACACAATTTGTTCATCAAGTTTGCTTACATTTAAAAATCTTCTCCTCTGAAACTACTGGGCCAATAACCTCAAACTTTAACTAAATGTTCGTTAGGGTATCTTGTTTATAAATTGTATCCGAAGTTTGTATCCATAGACAAACATGGCCGCCATGGCTAAAAATAGAACATAAGGGTCAAATGCAGTTTTTGGCTTATATCTCAAAAACTAAATCTTTTAGAGCAAATGTGACAGGGGTAAAATTGTTTAATTGGTCAAGATCTATCGGCCCTGAAATTTTCAGATGAATCGAACAACCCATTGTTGGATTGCTGCCACTGAATTGGTAGTTTTAACAAAATTTTGCAGTTTTTTGTTATTATTTTGAATATTATTATATATATATATAAACTGTAAGCAGCAATAATGTTCAGCAAAGTAAGATCTACAAAAAAGTTAATATGACCATAATTGTCAATTGACCCCTTAAGGAGTTATTGCCCTGTAAATTTCAATTTTACACAAT